CCGAACCCCCTTGAACAGCTGGCGGGCGGCGACCGTCATCGGAACTACCCTGGACCAAGAGATTTCCTTGAAGATTTCCTGGAAGGTGAAGGGGCACCCACGTCATCATTGTTGCGCTGGAACCTTAAATCCAACCCGGCAAGCCCAAACCTCAATCCGGACAATTCCGAAAATTCCGGGAATTTTCAGCTCCGGGTGATTCCCAAAATTCCCAGGATTTTTAGACAAAAAGTGTTAAAATTCCCGGAATTTTCAGGATCCCCCTGCAAGGCCCTCACAAGCAGCCAAATGGACCGGAAGAGGAGGCGGGGCATCCGACGGGGCGGCCGCAGAGCGAAAATAGGGGTCGAGTCCGTAGCCTTTTATGGGGATAAGGCCCTCACAAGCAGCCAAATGGACCGGAAGAGGAGGCGGGACATCCGACGGGGCGGCCGCAGAGCGAAAATAGGGGTCGAGTCCGTAGCCTTTTATGGGGATATATCCAAATCCGAGTAATAGCAGTTATAACTTCGGCACCAAATTTAATACCCTACCTCCATCTAAAGAGAAAATATCGTATATTCTCTTCCATAAATATAATATCAGATATCCTCTCCTATAAATATAATTCTGTAATGTCGTGAACCTTTTTGGTTCCTATTTGAAAAATATCAAAGAAAAATATCATCTATCCAATCCAATCTATTGATAACATATATCAAAATCAATTTGTCGAAATTGAAACGAATTCTAAGCAATCGATTCTCCATAATCTTCAAAAAATTGCCAAAAAAGAATCAAATTCAGCGACATTATCTTCTTGACCTCTTTCAGAAAATGATGGTCAAGATCGGAAATCCAAAAATATCCAGCCGGACACTCGGCACTGATCACGAATCAGTTGGTCAATTTTTTTTGCAAAGCGCTATATTTCTAAAAGCGAGTCTTGTTGGCCGAGTCACTGCTCAAGAAGAGCTGACAAATCATCGGCCATCCAACTGACTGAGGCGCCTTCCATGCAGTGACAACCCATGCTTTTGCAAAGCTGTCTGCGACGTCTATTCCCTTCTGGTCCGTATATAAATATACTCTAACAACCCCCAAGACCCCATTCTAATTGTTAATTATTAAGGCCTCTCGATCTGGGCCTGCCGCGCAGCCGTCTCTCTGACCTCACCGTTTGATCAAATCGGCCTTTGCAGCAAACATGTCGGCTGAACAGGGACGCTACCATCGCTGCGAGCTCTTCATTTGCCCACTGCACCTGTGCAACAACATCATGTGCAATTTCAAGGGTATGTCTGCAATAAACTGGATGAACCTTGTAGTAGAGGGCATATCCTGACAACGTCCCTGCCTGCAACGATGACATTTGCAGCTTCTCGAAGGGTTTCATGAGCACCCAACTGGGGCCCTGGCGACTGTAAAGCCTGCCATGAAACTCCGGAGGCGTGAGCCAAGCGAAGACTTTGGCTTCGCTGGCTTCGCCTTCACGGAGCAGCATTGGCCGCTTTTAACCGAAGTCGCGCAAGGCAATGCCAGACATAGCTGCGGAAGAATCGGCCTGCGCCTGCGGCTTCACATCAGTTGATACCTCAGAGAAAGTCCTCCTCGCCGGGTGTAGAAATGGCCTGCAAATTGGCCGAAGCGGAAGTGGACTTCAGCCTACAAGGTTCGGCTGTAGAATCGCGTTCTGGGTTACACGCCGCACTCTGGACAGCGCGGAGAGGTTCTTAGTCAACCTTACTTGAAAGCTTCACCTGCATTTCAGCACCAGCTTGGCAGTAAAAAGCTCTCAGTTAAACCAAGGTCTCGGCATACTTGTCATGCCGACAGAGGCCGAACATGGGAGTCCGAACAGACTCTTTTTGATCTTTGAGCTGCGGTTCCACCAAGAGTCACAAGAGTCGCAGTAACCTACAAGCTCTGGTCCATTCAGACGTTCAGACGTCCATGCCTCTGCCAGCCCTGACTCAGACTTTTCACCCTTCAGCAAGCGCCAAATCAATGCATCGACAGGTCCCAGATTTGCTGCCGACCCTAATTAAGCTTGAAAATCTGCATGAGATCATGGAAAGTTCCCAACCTGAGTCGCTGAACGCACTGATGGCAAAACTAGCAAGAGAACGAAACGAAGGCCTTTGAACTTTGGGCCCTATTGCCTCCTACTGCCTCCTATTGCCTCCTGTTGCCTCCTGTTGCCTCTGAGTCTCCGAGTCTCTGAGTTCCGCACTGCATGCGCGGTAGAGAAAAGCAGAGCGCCCAAGATGCTGAGCACCAATGCAACAGGTCCGACGTTGTCCTGACGAGTGTGGCTCAGGATGAACGAGAACTATATGCCAAGAAATGCACTCACATATTGAATATGCTAAGAAACGCACTAGATTTGACTGAAGATGTTTTCGACATGAGATACAACTGACGAGTATTGGAATCCTCGTAGTGCATGTCGACTTTGTAGTCCAAGCCATCGGCGCGCCAATTGAAGACATGCACCGACCAGGCCTGAGCTCAACAAAGCGGCAACACAAAGTAGAGACTAGTAGAGATCATCCTGATCGCTCCAGAAGAGTTGCGAGCAATCTGGACTGAGGCCCAGCGACAAGAAACACCGCGGCCAACACAAGCAGCCGCCCAATTGTTGCGTGAGCTGCCTCTGTTGCCATGAGCCAGATCCCCAGCAGAACAATAACAAACTCAAGAAGCCTTCCATCCTCCAATCGCAACTCCAGAAGACATGCTCGTCGCAAGCCTCCTCAGAGATGTGTAGCATCAGAACTCCTGATCGGGACTGTTTCGTATTGCCTTGCAGGATTATATACGTTTGTGCGGCCGCATTGTAATGACTGAGTTTCTGGCCAGAAGCAGCCAGTATGGTGGCAAAATGGATCCACTCCAGAAATGTTCGCTCATTTGAGTACCTGAGCTGGAAGAATAGCCTTGGATGCAACTAAGTAACTAATCTTTTCCTCCGCCCTGGACGTGCCACCTTCTGGCAAGGCACAAGGTCTTCGGCTGCACAGCAACAATTGCTCTTCTTGTGGGTTTGTCCTGCAAAGCGTGCCGTTTTTAACAGGAGCAGCACAACAACTACATCCATGTTGGAGCATCCGGCTGCAAGTTACAGAAATCTGCCTGGGCTTCATTTCCAATGAATCCTGTAGCACCGGCAGATGCTCTCGCCATGAAATACATCAAGTCAGACATGGTCACCTCTCTAAATTACGTTCCCTTTTGGGGTTACTATAGTAAGGCGGCCCTTAATATTTAGGGTAATCAAAAGGGAGCATAATTTTGAGAGCTGACCAACTAGGAGCTGGGCTCTGCATGAAGCCTTGCTCCTGGATAGACACGTGTCAAATTCGAGAGTTCTCAAGAAGCAAAACTCCCATGAAACGGGCCTTTGGTCCAGGCGCAGACCCGGAGAGCAATGGCCTAAGGGTCCAGAATCTACTCAGACTCTCGCCCATGTCTAGCAGACTGCAGGGACAAAGGTTGAGGTCGGTGATGTGCAGAAACATCGCCGCTCGCATGAAGGCAACCATCCGGTTCTCAACAGGCCACACAGCCATCAGGCCGAGGAAATGGCGCATTGAGGGCACCAGCATCTTCAGCTGGCACCAGATGCTTGGTATCTTCAATTGGCGACACACCTGCACCAACCACCCCAAGTGTGCCGACAAAGGTCTCACTAAATGAAACCCAGGCCTCGTTTAGCCAGAGCGATCCGTGTCAGAGCCATCTGCGAAGCATGCGGGTTGGCACTGGTCTTGCTTTCAGTCTGGGGGCGGGGGGTCTGGAACTTGGGACTAAAACTAAATCCTGTCGTGCAGGAGCTATTTGCGACAGCCTCCTGCTCCTGCTGAGGCGTAGTGCCGAACCTTTGTGCGGACAACGTATCTAATCACAGACAAACACAGACTAACACAGACTAACACAGACAAACACAGACAAACACATACAAACACAGACAAACACAGACAAACACAGACAAGCACTGACAAACACAGACAAACGCAGACAAACGCAGACACACAGACAAACGCAGAAACAAACAGAGACACGAGAATCGAAGAATCGAACGGTCTGAGCCCTGCACTCGTGGAGCAGTCGCGCACTGCTCGGAGTCCACCTGTATGGAGCGATCATTCCGCACCATGCTAGATCTGGAATGGCCAGTCCAGCAAACTCTCGGCAGCCTGTGCGGAGCATCCTCCTCCCTGCCACCGCCACCTGCAGTCACATGACTGAGAGCTGTGCAGTCATGTTGCGGCATCATCGCAGGGCCCTGGCTCTTGACACTTCCTTCAGAAGGGTCTTGCGACCTCGGGCATGTAAGTGTAAAGTGTAAGTGTAAGTGAAAGGTGAAAGTGTAAGTGAAGTGTACGTGTAAATGACTGAGCATGCATGTTGGTGTGGGTACATGGGTGTGCGCGCGTGGGTGCGGGGTGTGCGGTGTGCGGTGTGCGGTGTGCGGTGTGCGGTGTGCGGTGTGCGGGGTGCGGGGTGCGGGGTGCGGGGTGCGGGGTGCGGGGTGCGGGGTGCGGGGGGGGGCGGGAGTGCGGGGGTGCGGGGGCGGGTGCGGGGTGCGGGTGGCGGGGGGCGGGGTGCGGGGGTGCGGGGTGCAGGGTGCGGGGTGCGGGGTGCGGGGTGCGGGGTGCGGGGTGCGGGGTGCGGGGTGCGGGGTGCGGGGTGCGGGGTGCGGGGTGCGGGGTGCCGCGGCCGCGGGCACGGGCGTGGGCATGTGCATGTGCGCATGTGCGTGTGGGTGAGTGCGTGCGTGCGTGCGTGTGCGGGACATCACTGTACATACGGCGAAAACACCACGATCCAATGTTCATAACCTTCATCGAGAAGTCGCAAACGAAGAGCAGAAAGCTGCACAACTTGCGCCTTAACAGCGCATGAGGTGGCGCATTGAATCAGTGGGGCAGCGCACTTCCATGCCCAGCGAAGACAACGATGAGAAGTGGTGATATCAGATAGACGTCCTTCTGACTTACTGCACGTGCAACGCAGTGATCGTTTTTGACCTTTTGTAATCAAGCAAGCTGTGCATTGGTGCATCATCGCTGTTGGCGGCATCACAACATTCACCTTGCCGCATTGCCAGTGGAGCATGCTTCCAGAGCAGCTTTCCTCGGAGCACGTGATGTGCAGCATATGTGACATTGCAATGGAAGCAAGTTTGAGCACTTGGCATGCAGCATGTGGCATTACAAGTGCAGCAGGTGATGCAGCATTGGTGACACACATACATCCCGCACACTCACCCCAGAACTACAGCATGTTCGTGTAACACATCATTCATCTTTCTCCTACATCAACCTTCTCTGTTACTTGTTGCTGTGAGCAAACGTGTCCAAGATGGTAGCATCCAAGCGTTTGTGTGCGTGTGTGTGTGCATGTATTTGCGGGTCAGTGTTGGTTGCAGTGGAGGAGGCCCATGATCAGGGATCTTTCATTTCGACCTACCTGATCGGGCGACCTGACGCAGCACTTTCGCGAGCCTTGCCAAGATACCTGTTTCCGCAATACTATCTGGCCTCTCAGAAGCACTCCTCTAAAGTAGCCAGACATCTGACATCACTTCCAAGCCATGGACGCGTGAGCATCATTCTCTTCATTGTCCTGGAGACCAGAATAAACCTTGGTAGCGACGACTCTGAACTGCAAAAGAAATTTTGAACTGCGCGTTGACCTTTCGCTCCCTGGCACTTGTCGTGGCAGTCGTGGCACAAGTCTGGCGAGGGCGAGGACGGGGCATTTGCGTACCAATGGGGCATCTGCAGCTTCAGCCTGGTCGGATCCGGCAGTAGCACGAACAGACCAGAACACATCGGGTACGATTCAGGTCCCGACCCAAGGGCATGGAAGCGCGCTATGGCATGGGCTCCCTTGGAAAAGCCGTTTGCCTGCCAACACAATGCACCCCACAACTTTGCTGAATCGCGGAGCCTCTCAAGACGAATCGCCTGCACGACGCTCCCATCTTCAAGAAGGCCAAGCCACCTGCTCATTACCGTATATAGTCGAAGCTACGTCACTCCTCCCCGACCCGTGCAACACCTCGGCCAGGAAGACTCCTTCAAAGCTGAAGGGAACTTGACTGTGATGACCTTCCGAGGGCCGTGCATGTGAAAATACGCAAAAGATGTCCACAACCCAGGCCATGTATGGAAAGAAGTCCACGGAAGTGGGGCTGCTGGCATCCCATTCCTGTTGACGCACGACCAGGCGTGCATCCACACATCACGTGGTGAAATACCAACTGCGGCGAGCCTTGATCTTGCCAAAACGTACATCCTCATCCAGGATGACAACGATGCCACCTCAACCCACAATGACCAAAAGCAAACCACAACGCTAGCTTATTGCCGCACTTCAGCATGGTTCGGGCATCGCGCAATCATCCTGCAAAATGGATCGGCTGTAGCTCGCCTCAAAGTGCATCTCACAATCTGCTTGCATTTCATGTAAGTGAAGGACTCAAGGCTCTCTCCAGGGATAACGGGCAAATCTCTGCCACGTTCTTTGGGGCGGGCATTCCAAATGCGCACTACAAGGATACTTCGCGGCGGGAGCAGGATCTCTGAATTCTTCGGAGGCTTCACAAGGTTCTTTTGGGGGGGGGGGGGGGGGGGGGGGGGGAAACTCAATTTTGCCTGGCCTTTGCTTCACCAAGAGCTTAGAGTTTAGGGTGTAGGGCAGTTTGGGGAGCCTGAACCATCTGCTTGTAAACATAGAAGCCGACCCAAACGCAAACGTAGAGAAACCGTCCGAAGAATTACCCTAAAGACCAACCACCCCAACCGTTTTTGCCTAACCTCCTCAACCGACCTGCTACACCCAGTACAGCTTCTAAATCCTGACCCCCAGCCCCAAAAGCTCGAAGAGACTCGGACAATCTTCATTTCCCGATCCCAGCTGCACCTCTGCCATCGGAGTCAGGGTGCTCCCAAATGTTCTGGCTACCTCAAGGCTCCACTTGTGCCGAGCTGGCAGGCAAGCATGCGCAGGACCCCAGGACCCGAACCCCCCCCACTACCCTTCCTCGAGCAATACGAGCGCCGGGGGGCTGGACATCAACAATAAACTGAGCTGACACCTCCAAACTGCTTTTGCAGCTTCCAGTGATTCTGCCATCCCAGGCCTCTCTAGACTGTACATACGGAGATCGGCCCTCCTCCTCCCGGCCCCCCCTCCTCGTCCCCCTCCTCGTCCCCCTCCCGCTCCCCCTCCCCCCAACAACTCCAAAACTTGGCCTGCCGGGGGCAAAGGCTCACTTCCCTCGCAGGATTTTCATGGCGCTCCCGTGATGAGCAAGCCCACACAGTTGCAAGGCAAGCCACGCGAACGACTAGGATTCGAACACTCAGCAAATCTCAACAGCCAGCCTCCTGCATAGTTGTAGTTGCCACCAGCTTGTCCGCGGGAGTGTCCTGATCAGCTGCCATGTTGAGGCTGTGACAAGAAGCACTGGCCCCTTGGCATTATCTGGACTAAGCCAGACACACTACCAATCACGGGGCGCGCCCCCATGGCCCGATCATCCAGGACGATGCTTGGGACCTTCGACATGGGGCATGAACATATTCAGCACCACGCTAGTAGGTATTGCAGCACCGCTAACCACAAGCAAGCAAAACAAATGGCAACAACAACGGCAAAACAACGGGTGCAACCAAAGAAAGCATTCTGCCACGCCTCAAGGGGGCAGTGGATAGGTCAGCATGTTGAGTTGACTACGTGAACGAAGTGAGAGCAGGATCGCTTCTTCTGGTGCCCCAGACCGAAGCTCCCCTAACATTTGACGGCTCCCATGCGGCAAGCGTTAACGCCCCGATTTATCAGGCCTTGGGGTCCGCAGTTGTCCGTAGCTCTTCACTATCCGGGAATACTGAAAGAGGCTTTGGGAACAAGAACTGCCTCAAGAGCACTACTAGAACATAGGAACCAAACAAGTGAAAAGCCCGTTCTTTTCGAAGCGAAGCAAGAATGGCATAAATTTTGACCCACATGCGGTTACATAGGTACCGGTAAAACGCTATGGACCGCTTTCGTGACTTCCACAATCCTCAAACTTCAGGAATAAGCAAGCATCAACCGACCTTCTGATCGAAAGCCCAGACGCTCGAAAACTAGTGGAAGAGGGGGACAACACATAAATGCTGCAGCACCAGCACCAGCACCGACAGCGTCGCTGAACGCACCACGGAGACAAACACACAGACAGCATCACCTCCTCGACAACCCTAAAATTCACAGTCGCGGCAAGACCCGTGGACCCGATTAAAAGTTGGCGAAGTCGCGACTAAGTCAGCAATGACACTGCCAAAGAAATGCAAACCGCGTCAGGGAGGATGTCTGTCGGGCCTGGCCCTGAAGCAATCGTGCTACCTCATCACTCCTGCGCAGACTTTGCAAAAACTTGCGGCGCCTGACTAGGGAGAGTACACTCAATGTTCTGAGAGAGGCCTGATAAGTACTTCGGTTCGCTTCTTGGCCCCTTTGGCCTGACAAGGCTGGGGATGCTACGCACCTCCCTGTATCTTTGTATTCGGATCCGGCCTGGTACACGACGCATGCGACCTGGTTGGGATCGCTTCGTCGCAAGTGCATTGTAGCACCTGACCTTGGACAGGCGAGACACTTGCCCACTCGTAATTGTCATTTCCGAAGATGATCGACTGTGGCTGGTGGCACTTTGGGCTTCTGAGGGCAGCACGACGTGCCCTGGCTGGACTCCAGCACGTCCTTGTAAACCTCTGTTTGGAAGGGCCCAGCAGCCAAAAGCTCTCACGCGGTCTCACGCGGTCTCACGCCTTGAAATCCTTCGTGTCAAGGAAGACGGAGGTCGTTTTGGGCCTCGGCCTCGGGGCTTCCAGTGCAGCCGTGCAGGATGATGCGGGTATACGCCGTTATACACCGTTATACACTTATACACCCCTTTCGTTTGGGCCGCTTCTCGTGTGTGCTGCATGGTTCTGAGTTCTTGGGGGTCGGACGCCTTCGCTCCGGCGGCAAGTGCGGGCACCGCCTGCAGCTCTCTCTGCGCATCTCTTCGCGACATATCGAATCTGCGACTTATCTTGCCGGTCCTGTGGATCCTTGGGGACCATAAACGCCGCGAGCTTCACTCGGAACTTCATGGCTGCCTGGCACACTCGAACTCTGTTGCTGCTGTGCCGCGGTCTCTCTTCACAGCCTTCGCTTCTAGTAGGTAGGTGCTCTCAAGTGAGGCTCCTTGACGACCTGACCGCCAAAGTTGAAATAACAGGCCATTCCCAATCTACAACGTGAACAGGAGACAATCTGGGACAGGGGCCAGCTTCGTCCTCTGCACCAGAAAGGCTGTGTCTCACATCGCTGTACCTGATGTTCTGAAGGCTTTCCCCGTATGGACCCTTTGGACCAGCCTCAAACTTTCAGGAAGTGGGGCGTGAGGAGCATAAGCTCAGGCATGGGCGCCAAGCGCCAAAATACAAAAAAGCACTGAAGCTTGGAATGGCTTTCTTTCTGGAGCCCCACTATATCCACTTATCCTTTCTGGCCTCCGTGCTTGGTGGACCCTACTCTGGAACTCTGAGGCTCCAGCGGAACTGCACCCTGGCAGGATCAGATTTAGATCTCAAGTACACTACGTATTGAAGTATTGAAGCCCTGTCGTGGCCCATCTGATCTGCCGCTCTGACAGACTTCATCACATGAACGGCTAGTCGGCACGCCTTCTTGCGCAACAACTGGGCAATGTTTCCAAACTTTCCCAGCATGTTCTCCTTTACAAAAGCAAGCGCATGTCAACTGAGCGAACTGGGTGAGGGGATGATCACAAGGGGCTACATGTAGATAGGCCCGGGCAAAGTCCGTTGCCATAAGAGGCGCTTTGGCAACCTGCACAAGGTGAGGTGCGAATCTGAATAGGATCTTTCATAGGCCACTGCCTGGAGAGATGATATGCACGTTTCGACAGTGTACAGACGAAAACTCCCCAAGAAGCCTGCGTCATGAACCACTGCATAATGAATTTCTTGCTAGACCTCGAAAAGATTGGATTCTCTTGGATTGCACCCTCAAGATGCAGCATGACAACTCTCGTCCCAGCTTGCAGCCATGCAGCTTCTCGTACTTCTTTAGTGCTTTCCGGAATCCAGTGAAGTTCTGCTGGACAAAGAACCTCTGGAGCGATGGGACATGATGGGACTGCAAGAAGTCTCAGAGATGCTCAGAATGCGACTTCAGATCGCTGATGTCCGTGCCGACCTCCTCGAGCCTGTGACTGCACTGGGATTGTAAGGCGAAACAGCTTTAAGTACTCCAATTACCGGTGGCGAAATGAGGGACGCCTCCGGCATAGCTCCTCAACCGGCTTGGTGGTCGCAACATCCTGGAAGCGCACCGCATCTGCGCCACAGTCACTGAGCATCATACGGGGCAGAGACCTGAGTCAGAGTGACCGTATGTCGAACATGAAAATCCTTGTACAGATAGGCTAGATCTCAGTCCTGCTTCAACCCGTCCAGAAGCTTGTGAATCCGAGCCTCACATGGCCAAACAAACAAAAGCAACGCATGCTCTAGGCCAGAGGCAGATTTGTCGTCACATTCTATCCAAAGAGTCTTAGGTGGACAACCCTGGAGCAACAGTCAAGCCCTCGACCTCTTCGGTCTGCACGAACTTCCCAATGCGAGATAGCTCCGCAGCTGGCAGAAGAGAGCGCATTGCAGCTGCTACGAAGCTAAAAAAGCTTGCGGCTCAACTGAACACAGCTACGACTCTCTCTGGACTCCAGATTCACGATGGCTCTCTTTATGTGTAAACAGGCCGTGGCTTGCTCAGGATGTCGTTGAGGCGAGCCTGCGCATAGGAGTGTCCAGAAAGGAACAGCATGAAAACACAAAAACAGCACGAGCAGTTCAACTTGTTCTGTCATGTTGGTTGCCAGTGCTTTCCCAATGCCCCAGACAACCTCGGGAGGCAGCTCTGGATTGGGACCCAGCCGCAGGAATGAAGATGTCCAATGCGTGACCTGATGAAGAGGAACATTTTTTGCAGGCGACCGATATGCGCGAAGACTTCAGACAGCTTGGCCGACTGCTGACTCAACAGTGGCATTGTCCTTGTCCTGCGAGGGACATTCTATGCCTTTGCCCGTCTTCTTGTTGTGTCTGTCGGCCGCAACTATGCGTGCATCCATGTCCTGGCCGGTGTACACAGAGATGGCCCTCTTCAGGTCCTTCTCCATTGCTCCATGAACACGCAGCTCCGTGATGGCAGACAATCCGGTGAGACCGCGCCTCATACTGGATCCAAGCACCTTGAAACTTCGGCCAATTGTTCGAGTTATAACTTTCCAGCGTCTGGCCGAACCTTTGCGCACAAGGCATCAACGTCGGTATCAACGAGGCAACGCCATCGCTAGCAGCTGACATTTATCACGATTGAAACAGCACCTCTTACACAGCTTAGCGTGCAACGCTCCACCAACTCCATGTGCGTGCTTGCAACGTGAGACCATTCTTTTTCGAGCCTCTTTTTTGTGCTTTTTTGTGCTCTGATGGGCAGCTTGTTGCTGCATGGTCAGCCCACAACGTCAACAAACTTCGAAGACGGTGGCTTCCTTCAACCAGCGGCCAAGGCTTGGAATCTGCCTTCTTGATTCCAAGCCCTAAACCCTTCAGACCTTGGACTAGATCCTCGAACACAACCATGGCCGTGTTCCAGCGAAGTGCAGTGCCACTACTCCCATCTGGCCAGAAGGACGTGTGCCATGGCATTGGGCCCAGCAAAGATGTCATGGTGTTCAAGAGATTTTGCCCAAGTCTGATGCACCATTGTCAGCAAGGTCTTGACCGCACGTAGAATCTTCTGGCAAAGCCTTACCGATGAGCCCACATCGTAAGGGAGCCGCAAGGTGACAGAAAAGGACCAGCCAGCACGTTCTGCTTTTGCTTTTCTCGGTGCGTCCGTGCCAGAACCCATGCTGTGGCCGATGTTACACGCTGAAAACATGCAGCACACACCATGGAGTACAGGATAGTGTGAGAGGCGCCGTCCCAGCATCAGCTGTTCCAGGCCAGTCAGCTGTTCCCGGCCAGCTCCGCTTTCTCTACAACACCTTTGAGGCACTGGCGGTCGGAGCCACGATATCTTAGGACATCACACCACCTTGCTTGAAGCTTGCACAGCGCTTCCATCTCTGCGCTGATGGAACCGGCTTCGAGAGTGAAAGTCATGCTCGCACGTGACCTGCCCAAGGACAAGTCTCGCAGGGAACACTCTGTCGCGCTGCTGATATGCTGGAGCACTTATACAAGCAACATACCGCAGCATGAACCGAGACACCGTGGAGACTGTCAGGTGAAACTTTGAAACGGACTCGCACAGCTCGTTTATGTGCACTTCGCCGACTGCCCATGGCACCACCGCCGTGACAGCGCAGGCTCTACCAGAACCGCCTCACAAGACGTCATGCGTCAACAAGGTGCACGACACGGGTCCCGTGAACGGAAGCGCAACAAGAAGCTGGAACTTGTGCCTGGTGCCAAGTGCATCCTTGGATGGAAACATGCTGGCAAAGGCAGTGAAACCAGCAAAATCTGTCCATCTTGCTGCTTGGCTTCTCAAAGAGGTTCAAGAGCTCTTCTGGCTTCAGGCTTCCCAAAATTGCAGTTTCGCGCTCGGCGCGGTCGAAGACAGGAAACCCAAAGCTAATCCTGAGATTGCCCATGCGACGAATTCTGCGCATGGTGCTCCTCTAACCTCATACGCAGCTTCTTCAACGCCAAGGAACTCAGTCCAACAGCTTCCATGTGTTTCACCCAAAGTCCGCTTGGGTTCCAGCCATCTACCTGAACGAACAAATTCCAGCGATATCATTCAGATACGCCAAGATCCTGCAAAGACTCCTGTAAGCGTTCCGATATAAGGCTTCCTGTCAGGGTAGCTGTAACTGTTGTAAGAGTACCTGTCAGGGCACAGTACTGGTACACTTGATTGAAGCTGCCAAGGCACCTGCAAGTCCGACGATATGGCCTTCGAACCTCAAGAAGTGTCAGATGAAAACAGCTTGGAGCGGAATGACTCTGCAGCTGGACTGGAAATCCTCAGGAAATCTCTCGCCACTTGCAGTTCGGCCACTTGCTTGTCGGCCACTGTCGCATTTGCTGTCCGAAATCCTGCCAGGTCTGGAGCACCGGGGACCCCACAGATTCCCACGACATGTGGACAGGCCAGTGGGCCAGATTTGGCAAGAGTGTCCTGCAAAAACTGTAGCACACGTTCCACCAAAACAGGTGGCTTCTGGACAGCACTGAGGATGTATATGCTAAAGCCTCCCAAAGAAGTGATCGCGTGTTATTCCAAGATCCCAACTCGCATCAACAAACAGCCTGCTTCAAGAGACGTTTAAATTCTCAGTCGCAGACCTGGCACGCCAAAAGAGTCCTTGACACAACATGCCCAAGACTCTGAAAGTACAAGGCCGGGCCGGTTCGCAAACGAACTGCTGCAACTTCTGAACGCTTCTGAGCATCCCGTAGGCTGCATCCCACGCTGTACCCAAGTTGCTGCTTCGTTCGCAACTCATCGAATAGGCTCTCATACATGACATCTTCCAGCAAAGCCAGAAGCACCCTGACCCGAGCCTGGTCCTGGAGTTCTGTTCCGAGCACAGACACAGGTTTGCAACATTCGAACGGGGGCACACTGGAGGAACAAACACGCTCGGGCTTCTGCACCAGTTCATGTACCCCCCCCCATCCTCCTGCCAATGCCACGCATCACGCCCCGGCAACTGAAAATAAATCTCAACTGCAGAGTTTGACTGCGTAGTGTCGACTGCGGTCTGCATCCACACCGTTGCCGATCCCACTGGAAGTTGTACCACGTCCACCTCAACTTTTGTCTGTGGTGCCAACGTGTAGCCATCAAAGACTGCCGTGGCCCAGTCGAGAAATGTGTCTTTCGGTGTGTTTCCAGACACCAACAGCTCACACCCCATCTCGGAGTTGAAGTTCTGGGCAAAATCCATGAGCTGCTCCGAACCACATGTGCTCAGCTGCGCCTCCTTTGTTGTATTCTAAATATTCTAAAAGTTTAACGAAGCCTATTTGGGTGTTGGAACCCAGACAGGCCCTGGATACTCCGACCCCCGAAGCACCCCTCGCAAGGGCCTGGGAATGCCAACATCCTAGAACTTCGGCCTTAGACCATCTCAGACCTGCTCCCAAGAAAGCCCGACAATCCTTCATCGCAGGTCTGGGCATTGATGGCATCAGCAGCAGCTTGCGAAGATCTGAACAATGCACTTGTGGCTTCAACCATTCATTCTTGTAGCTCCTCAGCAGGGCCTCATGCATTGCTTGAAAGCGGTCGAAGCGTGTAGCATACTCCTCAAGCTTTCGAGCACGTAAGGTGCTCTCAACCAGGCACAGCAGCTTCTGACTGAAGCCTCCCGCTCGTATCGTCAAGCCATGGGTTGGAGAGCTACTGACCGCACAGTGCAGCCTCGCCTTGCCAGCCGCGTACAGCATCTCGTTCAAGCTGTCATTGAAACACAGAATGTAGAGTTCCAGCAACACCCCTTTTCGCACATTGTTTGCGTCAAGGGCATAGTATGGCGAGTGCATCTTCACGGACACTTGGCTGCGAGGCTGCTTGAAGTGGGCTGCGCAAGGCACGTGCCACAACTTCAGGCCTCGCAGGATGTTCTGCAAGCACACATGGAGCCAGTGGTCTACACCTCCTCCTGCTGCCTGCTAAACGCTCGTTAAGTTAGGCTTGACTTCGAAGAGTCCCCACATTTTGTTCGGGATTTGGTTCATTTTTTGGGAAAGGTGCTTTGCTTTTTTGGTCGCTTGCCAACCAGAGCTTGTGCGTTCAATAAGAACATGTTTCTAGCGTTCAGAGATTATAGGGTTTAGGGGTTTTAGGACCTAGTGATCTTAGGGACTCGGGTTTTGGGAATCTGGGATTGTTGGGCTTAAAAATGGGGTTCAAAGAAAACAAAAGGATTGAAGGAAAAACGAAAACAGCAGGAAGGGCTTGGACCGGGATTGAAAAAAAGAAACAGGAAAAGGAACAATCCAAATTCAACATAAACACAAGCACTCAATCTGGACCCTCGGATTCTGCCTCTTGGAAGGACCAGCTTCGGAGCATCACCCTCGTTGATACGGTTGCCTCTAAGCCCACAGCCTAAAGACTAAAGCCTGCCTCTGTAATGAAGCTTATGGCATCCATGGCGAGATAGCTGAAAGATGAAGGCCAGAGAAGCTCTTGCAATCACAGGGGCCGTACTACAATGGAACAATGTTTGATGTATCTCTCGCGCTCCTTTCTCATCTGGAGAGCTTGGTGTTTTGATTCATTGCACTTTGATTTCGATTGCATGGCGCACAGCAGAACCCCCACCTGCGCGGACGTCTTCCAGGCATTGAGGAGATGGCAGCAACCTCTGTATTGATGGGAAGCCCGTGTAGATGCTTGGTCGGCAGGCCAACTCCTCTTCCTTCTCCACGTTCTGCTTCAAAATAGAGAAGTCGGTAGCGATAAATTGGTTTGGAGGCGGAACATGCATCTTCTCCATGGCGTTCAAGGTTTCCCACCTCGATAGAGTCGTGTCCTCAATCCGACAGTCCCAGTACTCGGTTCCAAAGTATGGCTCCACTTGTGGCTTGCAGCCAGCCAGCTCGGCAAAGCCCGGATCGACGCCGCGTGCTTCATCGTCACCTTGCTGGCTGTCTGAAGTAGTGGTAGCATCGGTAGGCTCCAAACCACCTCACAAGGCACATCGTTGCAAGAGCGCATCAAGAGTCAACAACAACCTCGCTACCCACCCGGCCCCCTCTACGCAGACCTGCTCTGCCATAGGAGCTGCTCATCAGCATGAAGAAACAACCACGAGCAGAAAGCGACGTCAAGATGGACCTCATTGTTCAACTCTCTCTCCCTCCCCGTGCAGTGAATAAATCTTCTCTTCGTACAAGCCAACCGTCAATGAAATTTACAAGCAGACTTGCTGCGCAGGCCACCTCACGAGGTCCTCCCTGAAATCAGCATACATCCAGGGTCCCGTAAGCAGATGATCTGCCTGATGCTTGTACAATGGAAGCATGCGTTCCTGAGCTCGGCGAGGGGTTGCAGATGGTCAGGATCTAGGTATCACGCGTTTCTGCTCAGTTCTACCGCTCAAAACGTAAGTTTCGCTACAAAGCACAAGCCCTTTGCACACTGTTTGGCGTGCCATGCACAACAAGGCTCAAACAGGATTGAAAACGTTACAAGTCGATATTTGCAACACGTTGCCACTTCCCATGATTCACACTTTATAAGTAAGCTGAGACGGAGACAATCCTCTGCATACTCATCGAACGGCGTGAGAGCGGTTGCAAGCACAGCTGTTTCATTCAAGGTGAATCAAGATACATGCAACTAAGTTTACGGTCGGTGCAATATTGGAGATGGTTTTAGTTCCACCGATTGATAGCGTAAGAGCAGCTCCACATTTAAGAATATCGGCCGCTCTAAACGCTTCACTCGCCAAGACTAGCTCCCAACATTTTCGCAATGTCAAGTGCTACCTCTTGTTTTCAAGCGTCATACCGCCGCCACGTGAAAACTTTTGGCAAGAACAATAAACAGCGCAATTTGTCGCGTCCACAACCTGATGCAGGATGGCACATGCTACCGTCAGGAATAATAAATCATTCCCTACTGGTCATGTTGAACTCACCCTTGCGCATCTAAATTGTCTGCACGGATGGCTGCCACACCACACAGCTTTCCGTCCACTGTCACATGCCCACATCACTGTGTGTTCAGCACATGCACGCACGCTCTTTGTAAGAACTAAGCTGAGCGGCACTCATGTCAATCACCATGTCACCGGGATCCTGGGCAGGTGACTGCTGACAACTGAGCACTGAGCGCACTGTGTTACACTATGTGCACACTTTTTGCATTTCCAAAGCTGAACAAGCTGAGCCTTCTCTTGCAAGAACCTGAAAGAGCATTCTGCCATCTGCTTCTTCTCCTCGTAGAGGTAGGATGGCAAATCACCTTTGAGCACGTCCAAGTACTGGAAAACAGTTGTCGCGACCTCCGTCCAATTGGTGAGCCCGTTGACCGTCAACGTGATTTCAACACTGAAGATCATGGAATTGCCTGCAGAACAAGGACGCACGAAAGGGATTGTAAGGTTCGTGGGGTTTTTCGGCTCTCTCGTGAAGGTGGGCGAAGGGCGCGGAGGAGGCACTAAGTGCCTCTGGGCAGCAGCACCAGAAAAATCGGGAGCAGAGCTAGCGCTTGTAGGAGGACCAGGGTGGCAATCGCAAAAGTCGTATTCGTCGTAGGATTGCGAATTGCAGAATTGCAACAATGGCAAGACCCGCTCAAAGCAACAATAATTGGAGACACGGGGAAGCATCGCCAGTAGTACCAGCACTAGTAGTACTAGACTACTTACCAGTAGCAGTACCTGTAGTATGAGTAGCCCTATCAGCAGTAGTAGTAGTAGTAGTAGTAGTAGTAGTAGTAGTAGTAGCGCAATATGAGCGGCCCTCGACCAAATTACTCCTAGTACCAGTGCCAGTAGTTCGAGCAGCAGTGCCAAGAGCACTAGCAGCAATACCGTGGTACTAGTAGCACGCGTGCATTTAACCTTTGACGGTGTGTTTTTGCACATTAATGTGCCTTTTGTTGGGGGGGAGGGGGGGGGGGGGGGGGGGGGGGGGGGGCGGAGGGGCGTCGAATTTTGCATGTCGCAGTGTAGATGGTAGCCCGATGGATCATGATGCTCGCTGTGATGGCTTGCTCTTGATGCATCGGACCGAAGGTCGTGTGTTGTAGCCAAGCGAAATAGCCCGTTTGTGGCTGGGCTTGTTTGTGGTTTTCTTGGGGGTTTTTCCTGGGTTTTTTTCAAGTCGCGAAGCAACGTCTCGCAGACTTTGCACAGGGGGAAGAAGTTTTGATTGATGTGAAAAGCTTTAAGTAAGGCGAATCATTTGTAAAACTCGATGTAAGTCGAGTCATGTGTAGAACGATATGCAAAACGAGTCAACTGTAAAAGAGTCAACTGTAAAAGCCTATGTAAGCCAAGTCATCTTTTCAAGTCTATAAAGTCTATGGACGGTTGGACCAATGGATGTGCTGGCTGCGGCGACGCATCACAGTCGCACCAACTCTCCATGGAGGTCCTCAACTGGATGCTCTCTGAACGCAGACCATCATTGAGCTGACCACCCACCCGGTTCAGCTTTGAGTTTGCATATTGCATGTACTTTTCCTGCTGAGATAAAACTTTGAAGCGCTCTTATGAAGCGGCAACGCAACGCAGTGCCACTGACTGTCACGCCAAGCTCATCGACCGCTTTGAATTTGGAATGGAATGGAATGGAATGGAATGGAATGGAATGGAACGGCAGTTCTAGCAATATTTTTCATGGCCACTAGCACTAGGTTTTGTCCTAGTTGTACGAGTAGTACGAGTTGCATTAGTAGGACTAGAAGTCACAGCACTCGTAACGGTCGTCGTCGTCATCGTAGAGGCAGTAGCAGTAGCAGTAGCATCGACTGCACCAAGAGCACTAGCTTTGTTTTGGCACGCACTTGCCGCTGCCGGCTCTGACACGGGAGCTAAAGAGGGCCTTGCTGCTGAGATGCCTCAGGCACATCAGCCAGGCTGCGTAGCTCTATTTCTGCAAACTGTACAAAGGCAGGGATGTCAGACATCTGTGTTTCCATCTCCTCCTTGACTTGCTGAGCGGCACAACCGCTTCCTGTCCATCACCGAGATCCCTGCGTTGAGCTGCGCCGCTGTACAGCGGGCTCTCCGCAGCACTGGCAGCACTTGCTCACAGACGACGTTCTGGGCTGCTAAGGCAAGGCATTGCCAGGAGCCGGCAGTGTCCAACAACATGTCTCGTTCACGCACCCGGAGGTAGAGGTGCATGAAACTCTCCAGCGCACGCGCCTGTGCCGCAGAGCCACGCAGCACCAGAAGTGGTAAGCGGCTCACGCGAGCCTCGTGCCGAGCGAAGAGCTTGGCATCCCGCTGGCAGGTCGCGACGAGCGCCGACTCGTCGCGCTTCTCAGCTGGCTCTGGGAGGTGTAGCCGATCTTCAGGAGCTTCGTGGTGAAGATGACATGGAAGACGCCCAACTCAGGTCTGGAGAGAGCATCAGGTGCGACCTCGATGGCCACGAGACAGTCGCGCGTCAGCAGGGTCAGCTTGCTAGGCATGCTTGGGAGGCTGACGCCCTGCTAATCCTGCAGATAATTTTTGTACCCGTTCCACATCTGAGGTGCCTTGTTGCTCGAGACCACATGTGAGCTGCTGAGCTCGTTCCACTTACGATGCGACAGCTGGATGCAGGTCTGGGCAGGAAGGTTGTAGCGCCAATCCCCATCGTGGCTCAACAACATTCGCTTCACCAGGCCATTATTGATTCCCTGGCGCGCGGCTCGGCGAAAAAACGCCGCAACGATACAGCTTCTTGGAAAGACCTGCTGTGTGCTCACAACACGCTGGTGACGACAAATGGCCTGGTGAAGCGAATGCTGAACCACGATGGGGGGTGGCACTACAACCTTCCTGCCCAGACCTGCATCCAGCTGTCGCGTCGCACTACGGGCTCCCCACCTGCCTTGAACTTTAGCGAGTTGGTGCAGACTAAGTGGAACGAGCTCAGCAGCTCACATGTAGTCTCGAGCAACAAGGCACCTCAGATGTGGAACTGGTACAAAAATTGGGGAGAAACAGAGAGAAACACAGCGGTTTTTTGACGCTGGGCTTCTTCTTCTTCACATTAGCAGCGCTTGCATCTTGCCTCTCTTCTCTCAAACACGGCTCCGGCATCGACTCCGGAGCTCCGACGGGCATGGAGCGCAGAAGAGAGAACTCACTGCAGGGGCCAAGCACGGGCGGTGACTCGAGCCTGGAGTCTGGCCTGTAGCTCAGCATCGAGCTCTGCTAGCGGCTTGCGTATGACCAAGTGCTCCTCTTCCACTCACTGGCAGCAATGGCTCACTAGGCCTCACGCCTTTGCAGCCCCTGCAGCCACGGGACTGGAGCCGCTGAGGCTCCTGTTTCAGCTTGCACAGTCTTCTCTGCTGCCTGCCTCTCGAGCATGAAGCCGTCCAGCCTCTTGCTTAGAGGCAAAACGGCCTTCGAAAGACGAGGAAGCTGTTTGCGGTAAACTAGGCGGCGAAGAAGCGAGCGCAGCTTGGAACCTTCGTTGAAGACTCCCTGTGGACGGCTCCAGCGTCAAAGAAGAAGTCGCCTCTGTTCTCTGCTTCTTTGCTGGTGTCTCCATCTCGACTGTCTCCTATCCATCTGCATGGCCGCCACGCCCTCACTCGCAACGCCTTCCTCTACAGGCTCAACGTAGTCCAAGCGGCCATGGCGACTTAGCTCAGAGTCAGCCCTAAACCCTACTTATTGTTTCAAAGCTAAGTGGAAAAATAAGTGGCAGAGCTGAGACTGTCCTCCGTTCGCTCTTTCTTTCCTGCGTCAAAACTTTTTACAGTGTTCCAGTGACCTGGCTAGCCCGGGCTCTGAGCATTCCTCGAAGCTTCGACAGAACATTAACCAAAGGTGACTGAAAGCTGCATCTCATTCCGAGCGGCTGCTGTTGGTGAAGTTATCACCACCGGCGCCTGCCGTGAGGTCCGTGGCCCAGCCCCTGTCTTTCAAAAGCGAGAGGATCGAGCCATGACCTTCATCTCCTGGCACAATTCTGTAAGGAATCATCGCTTGTACCGGATCCGCCCAGATCTGCTCAGAATTCCTGAACCCTCTCGCCTATCAGACTGCTGAGATAGCTTGCTGGCTTACCTTGGGACAAGAATCGCTGCATGCCTGTAAGGTGGTCGGCCGCAGCAAGCAAAATCCGCCGAGGCCTTGGGCCGTAGGCGTCTGGGTAGCACAAATCAAGGCACCCCACCTCTAATCCCCTCCCCACACACAGCACAGGCACCAGGTTTGCACCCCTTTATTTTGCACTTTGAAATGGGCACCCCCCCTACCCGACAAGTGTCTGAGAGCAGACGGTGCATCAGGACCAGGGGGCACTTCAGCCTGCCATAGGGGCCACCCCCCCCCGCCCCACACCCCCGCAACCCCCCCCCCCCCCCCCCCCCCCCCCAAAGCCCTTTGCCGCCTGGTTTGGGTTGCCTCGTTACAGCAGCTCAGGCCCAGGCGGGTCGCGTAGCGTTAAAATTATCGAAGTCTTCCAGAGCAGCTCAGCTGCTCTGGTAATGTCCGAGTTGTGAAGGAAGTTGCCAGCTCATCCAAAGCACGTGCCCGTCAGAGATCGGTCGTACCCTCACCAGCCGCGGCAAGTCCTTCGTGGACACGTTTGAGCCCCCAAGCCCCAAAACCCCAAATTCGAAATGGAGTGTAGCCGCAGTGTAGCCCAAATCCAGAGGCAACAGTGCCTAGAACGTCCTAGAACGCTCGAAGAACGGTCCTTGCTGTGCAGAGGAAGGCCGTGGGATGCAAAGTCCAGCTGCTCACCAAAAGACGGTGGAATCACGGAGAAGGCGTTTGCAACAGCAGACTCTAGTGAGTCCAGGCTTTCAACCCCAAACACGCTGAGCCGCATTCTGCAAGCCTCACAGAGCATGCATACCGAAATGCCAACATCTGTGGAGTAATTTGACCCAGGCCTTGTAGTGATGACGGAAGAATTCACCAAGCTCTGCGTGAAGGTCGATGCCCTCAACGGGGCTGGTGAACTTCATTGCTTTTTTGTTCAAATCGCTTCGCTCGGCCGCTCGGCATATGGCGGAGCGCAAGGTAGCATAAGGATGAGCACATCAACAGGCCTGCGCTTTGGGGTCTGCGTCGAGGCTCTGCAAGTTGCCCCAGCCAAAGATCCTAACACAAATGCTTCGCTGCTTTGCCGCTTTGCCGGTTTAAAGGGCTTAAAGGGCTTCAATGGTTCAAAGGGTTTGTGCCTTTCTGAGAAGTTTTGTGTGCGGAGATGGCGAGAAGGGGGCCGGGGGGGCACCTCCAAGGATGCCCCTGGGAAGCGAAGCTGGCAAAGAGGGTCTCCGCGCGGACGCGGTCCTCGGAAAAGGGCATTCACGGCATTCATCTCTCTCGTCCTCTCAAATTTCATTCGTATTGGTTAGCATCGAAGCCCAAGAACACATCACAACCCATCGGAACTTATCGGAACCCGCAACATCGCAACGAGCCAGTTTGCCAGCGGCGATCTGCCAAGAGTCGCTTCTCCGCTTCTTCTGGAACTCAGACTCGATGGCCTGGGGGTCTCTGCAGTCTCCCTACCAGGCCCTACCATTCCCCGCAGACGACAGTACACGACAGTATGGCGCTGCGTCCCCCGACAAACAATAAAGCACATTAAAACATGTTAAAACATGTTAAAACATATTAAAACATGTTAAAACACGGCTCACACGGCTCCGCTTGCCCACTCGGCCTGGAGCTCCCTCGAAGATGCATCTGGAGTGAAGAGAGGCTCGTGAAGAAGCTCGGCGAACATGTGGAGTGCTTGGTGCAATGCCTTGCTGATTCGATGCTTGAAGCACTTCAACTGGAGCATCTCAATGAAAGTCCAGCCTTCCGGTTGACCTCGAAGTATAGGCCTTGTAGACTTGCCATTGATCCAGACAATATCGACATGCTTCGGCACGTGAGACTTTTCTGACAAGCTGCAAGTGTACTCACACTCCGTATAGGCATTGGACTCTCCTCCGTTCTCGGAAAGGAACTCCTCAAACTGCGACTCGCCCGGATACCTTTTGCTTCCCAGAAAAACCATGTGTTCACCTCAGCTGCTTCGCTGTCCCACATGATGACGACGTCATCGGACACAGGCGGAATTTTTCATGTCACATGTCCAAGTTGCAGTAATGCGCCAGACCCTGACACTTCATGGGATCACTGAAGGAGCCCGCCTGCAACCAGGTGGTGCGACCACGTAAAAAATTATTTTCCTTCAAACATCCCCACCTTCGGGATTTGGATTGGGGTTGGGCATTTCAGGGACTGGGGTTGGGCACTCCACTGGGTTGGGCACTCAAGGAGATTCTAAGGTTGGGCACGCCTCTGGGCAGGGTTGGGCATTCCAGGGAGAATCTGGGCTTGGGCGCACTCCAGGAGTCTCTGGGTTGGGCACTCCAAAGAGTCTCTGGGGTTGCGCACTCCAGGAGATTCTGGCAAGGAGATTCTGGGGTCTGGGGTTGGGCACTCCAGGGAGACTCCGGGGTGGCACTCCAGGATTCTCTGGGTTGGGCACTAGCTGGTTGGGCACTTTAGGGAGACTCTGGCGGTTGACTCCAGGGAGTTTCTGGGGTTGGGCACTCCAGGGAGTCTCTCGGAGTAGACCGGGCGAGGAGAAGAGTTCCGGACGAGGAGAAGAGTTCCGGCCGAGGAGAAGAGTTGCGTTTAAAATCTAACAACCCCACACCGAAGGTGGGGGAAAAGTAAAGATGAAAATCATTCGAATCGACTGAACTCCCGAGCCTGCACGCTACAAGCACAAGCGGACTTCTGCTTGTTTTCGTCAGAGCTGGAGATCAAAAGCGCTTCGACGCCACTGTCCAAGCGGATGAGACGATAACCTCACACGAGGCACAAGAGACGGCAACAGGGCCCTGGCTCAGGCCGAGGTCAAGCTCAATGTCAGAAGGTGCCGAAATGTGCCGAAGAGCTGTTACGATCGTTTGGAGACTTGGTTGAGTCAAGCGATGGGCCTGAGCTTCGCAATCAGCTTCGCAATCCTCTCTCAACGCGTCGGAAGACACCAAGAATTTTTGCAGCTGAGATGCACAAGTCGTGCACACGTGGGGAGCCACGTGGGGACCCATGTGCTGCCATGTGCCAAGGCCGACAGGCTCGGCCCCAGGCGACTCGGGTGAGCCACGACGTGGTCAGCCCTACCCAGCCCTACTCAGCCCTACTCAAGCTTCTGCAAGCTCTTCTGCACTCCGCAACCCAAAGACACGCAAACGGCTTCGCGCAAACAGCTCCAGCTCCATTTGCTTTGAAGGCTGATGGCATTCACGACAAGGTCACTGCACCAATTCACGAAACTTCAGGCTGAGCTTCCAGCTTCACCATGGGGCCAGGTCGTGAATAATTTGCTTACTGTACTGGTTCTTGAAAGCCTCATCCCTCAACCCTCAACCCTCAACCCTAAACCCAAGTTTAGGATTCGGTTCCTCAGTGCCCACCCCCCCAACTGACACACGTCTCAACCCTGTGGCTCTTCACTCCCTTGAGCCGACTTCTTCAAGGGCACTACTCCCGCCAAGTGCGCCAAGAAAACGTGATATGCACTGCATGTGCAGATTAAGCGTCAATCACAGTTTTGTCCTGGGAACGCCCCTGTCTTCCAACCTCTGTGATTTTGAGCTGAGCCACTCAGCATAGATCTGTACATCACCTTCCTGGGGATCCAATCCCCGAATTGAATTGGCATACTCTTGAATTTGCATCTGGCTTGGCGCTGTGCAGACATACAGAGTCATACAGCCCATCTCGGACTCTCAGAGTGGCAGGCCTTGGTGAGTGCCTGGCTACAGCTCGGATCTGCGACTGACGTCCACAGCCGGGCGACCGTGCCTCCAGCTCGCGCTGCAAGTCCTTCAAAGTGAACATAACTTAGCAGAGGGAAGAGCTGGGCCGAGCCTAAGCAACAGCATGAAAGCAAAAGCTTGCACACGCTTGCCACATGCTGGGATTTACATGTCCTGGATATGCCGCTCACACTTCTGATGTTTTGAAGCCCTGCTCCGCAGCGCCTGCAGACCAAGCTAGTTCGCCGGCTTCTACTCAGTCGAGTTGAACAGGATTGCGCTTTTGCAAGTGTCCTTGCCTCCGGTCCCCACCCGAACCCTCAAACCCTTAAACCTTTCCACCCATCATGCGTGGCAACCAAGGCCGAAGGTAAAAGTGGGATGCGGATGGAAATTTACCGGGCGTCCGGGTTGGGGGGAGATGAACTGACCTGAAGCCGAAGCGGAACTAGCTGCAGATGCCGCATTGCTTCAGGAACTAATTCGGCAACAAGGGGTGTTTCAGCTTCACACGGCATCAGGAGGTGATTCGGCGTATAACTCGGCGTCATGGGGTCATTCGGCTTCACAATGCGGTGTCACAGAGTAATTCGGCTTCGCAATTTGGCGTCAGGCGGGAATTCGGTGTCACAATTCGGCGTTCCGGACTATTTCGGCTTCACGCCATAATGCAGCGCAGGGGGCAGTTCGGTGTCTGAGGCACTGAAGGCGATTGATCCTTCGAGTTCCAAGTCTCAAAATTGTTAAAAGCTCCAGGTTGCCCCGAAGGAGCGTCACATCTGGATGTTCCAACATACGCGCAGACATGTGTGTCGTGTTCTGGCAAGCGTGCTCTTGGATCTGCAAACGTGCTTTGAGTGCGGGCAGTACATGGGTAGGTGCAACTTAACCTCCTTCACTGTGAAGGGTGATTCACCCTGAGTGGAGATGGACAAGCTTTGTTGACAATCGACTTCTGCAGCGTTGCCAGGCCCGGAGTAAAAACCATGTGAGTTGGGTCCAGTGTATAATAGGGCACCCTTAGAGAACTACCCATGCGAAGTCAAGCCAAACCCGCGACAAGCTCAGCAACGCAGGATACGCAGCTGGTATGGTCAAGCCATGAAACTGAGAACGCCGTTTCCTGCTGCGCGAGCAATGCTGCTTCTGACCGGCAAAGGGCTGCCAAGCCTTCAGCTCGTTGCGTAGGCTGGTCTGCTTGTCAAGCAGTTGCTCGCGCTCCTGGATTACTATGATCTTGTCTAGGCAAGCCTGATGCTGAAGCAAGAATGCTTCAAGAGTCAAGTTTTTTGCTCAGGGTCCTTCTCCTTCGAACGGCAGCGAGCGATGTCGACGCTAATCGCCTCCTACTCAGACTCTCGGAACTACACACGTGCACTTCGTGCACTTCGTGCACTTCGTGCACTTTCTGATCAAGGTGGCACGAGTCCTCGAGCGCTGTGATTCGCACTTTTGCCAGGCTGTGCTCTTTCAGCGCAGCCTGCATAACCCCGGTAGCATCCGGTAGCTGACGGCAGTGCCCTAAGAATCGAAACACTGCAGTCCCGCCTTGATGCTGCGCTCCATGCCTTCTCGTGTCTGCATGGCGACCTAACGCTTGGGCTCGTTGCATCCGAAGGTGACAAGCGATTCAAACGTTCAACCTCGAAGCGATTCTTGACCTGCAGCTCCTCCCGCTCCACACGCCTGCATGTCTACGGCGCTACGCAAAAGAAATGGGAAAGCACTAGAAGTGCTGAAATGCTTCACGGCGCCTCTGCATTGCCTGCACTCTTTCTTTGGAGGCTTTGATGGTGCGCTGCAGTCTCGCTCTCAAGTTCGCCTCAGGGCGAACGCAATAACAGACTTTTGCAGCAACGCGCACACACACAGACACAAAAATTGAACCGACCGACCTCAATGACATCGTGCTCGTCGCGCAGACGCGCACGATCGGTAAAGATGCTATCCTCCAACGCGCAGGAGTGATATCATGTCATTGAATCATTGTGGTCGAGGGGGGTCGCAGGCTTATTGCAGCAAAGTTTCATGCACCTTGGATATGTCTGGCTTCGCTAGCCTCGAGGAAAACTGTAACAACACTTTGTGTAACACGTCGGGCTGTCAGGAACCCTGCCTTGCTTCACTTTTGTGAGCCACACGCACGTTGCTGAACACTGAAGCTGCCTCGCATTTGTGCACGGTCACGTCACATCATGTCACCGCATCTGCAAATGTTCAACATTGCCGAGCATACTAAACACACCGAGGGCATGCCTGCGGAGACTTTCTTGACATGGGCGAGAATGGGGGGCTCCTTGACGACTGCTGCGGCGTCATCGGGGACACTTTGGCCTTCAGGAAAGCGTGAAACTAAAAGGGTCTACCGTGTTCATGCACAAGCACTGCCTCCAAGCCATCGCACCGAATGTTTCGGACTTGGGCCTCAACTACAGGCCAAATCCCAGGAACAAGGGCGCAATTCGGGCCCCTGCTTGAAGAAGCTCGTTCCTCTGGCACAACCTCCGCCTCAAGTGGCACACGACAGCTTGGGTCGTAGATTGTCGTAGATTCGTAGATTCTTCTGGCTTGGCTCTGGGAACCCTGCACCAGTTCTTCATGTGTCTTTAAACACCGCTGAAGTTTCTCTGCAACGCCCTGCGCGGAAGCAGCGCCACAAGCATCGGCTGCACTTCGAGCGGCAAGATTAGCCGACACTCCCTCCCCCTCGCCAGAAATGTGCTCACATGTATGACATGTTCAAGCTTCTTGTTCGAGTGTCCTCAGGCAGCTCTGCCAGATAATCTAGCATGGAGAACTCCAGAGGCTCCTGCCAGAAGAATTCTGGGCGAGAAAACAAGGAGGACCTGACGGTGCCCCTCAGGCCTCTGCATCTGCCTCAGCAGACCTTCGCTCCGAAACTGTCCCAGGCTCAGCTCAACTTTCAACACAGCAGAGTCAACCGTATGACTCGTTCTCTTGCCTGGACGAAGCATCCTGAGCCATGCCTTGGAAGTGAGAAGCTCTGTATCAGTGGAGCATAGTGGGATCCGTGGCTGATCCTGCTTGGACTTCTTGGGTGACTTTTTGTCACAGCTTAGGCTTCGGCATTCTTCCTCGCTGTCCCACATGCAAAAGCACTCGGCTTCAGGAGCCTGCGGCATATCACGCATCGATATCAGTCGATATCGGACATTGGGCAGCTTAACATGAGCTGCGCATGGGGTGGTGAACACGATCTGTTCCCATCAAGTGCCTTCTTGCCCTTGGCTTCCCCTTCCGGCAAGGTGACATCCTGGCACGCATGAAACATCCAATGTCCCACTCTCAACTAAGTGCTCCAAGCAAGCTCCTGCATGCCGTCGCGTGGCGTCCCCAGGTGGCTCACGGTTTTTCGCTCCGTCTCCGCCCATGCCTCCTCCGTCCATGCTTCCTCAGAGATTGTGTCGACAAGCGCATGCCCAGTCTTGGCTTCCTCCCGGATCGTGGCCAAACTGGCCACGTCCTGCCAAGCTCTGCGGAGCAAGCCGAGCACCGCGCGGAAGTGCACATCACGCAGACATTCAAGACTCTCTCAAGACAGGACTCAATGGATCTCAAGAGCCGGTCATGTCGGACAGTTCGGTCCTGGTGCTGATGCCTGGCCTCGTTTGCGCAAGGTGACTGTGATGGGCATGTCTTCTCGCGGCATCGCTGCTCCCAGCCTGAGTTACGACGAACATGTGCAAGACAGCGTGCTGTAAAGGTGGCACCTGTTAGTGGCAAACACATATCTCAATCCACTCCAAGGTTGCGGCAGTCGAGATTTATGCGTCCGGGCGTCCGTGATGGGGATGGCCTGCTCACGGCCAGCGGCAAATCAAGCCCGAGAAGCACAAGCACACCATACAGCACACCGATATGAAGAGAGAGCAAGAGAGAGACGGGGAAAGAGAAAGAAACGGGGACGAGAGAGCGAAAGGGAGAGGGACCCAGAGGGAGGAAGAGAACAGGAGCGTTCCAGGCTCCCGGCCCGGGACTGTCTGTGCTTTGAAACTTTCGAGCACGCTGCATCACCTACGACATCAACGACAGTGTTGCATCTGCGGCGCAAGGGGAGAGCAGCTTTGACCTCACCCTTCTTCTCCAATGATACCAGCTCATCACGGCGGCTGTGCCTCGAGGCAAAGTTGAGAGGACGACCGGATTGACTGGATGATCTCCCACTGCGCACAATCAGAGCACAATCAGCGCTCAATCAGCGCACGATCAGCGCACAACCGGTCCAAGCCTCTCCTTTGTGTGGTCGAGCTGGCGCGTGGGCACAGGCAGCGGATCTTCGCCCATGCGAAGTCGCCTGATCTTCACACTGACATTGCGCCTCTCTAGGACGCTGCATACCTGAGGATGTGGCTGCCGGCGCAGTTTTTGCAGCAGCTCTTCATTGGCCATTCGCCTTCATGCTAAGCTGACTTAGCGAAGGAAGAATGGGCCAACCAAGCGAGGGCTTAGGCTGGAGCCCGGTTCGAGCAATGCACACAAGCCAGGATTGCAGCCAGAACAGCTGCAGGCTTTAAGTGTAGAACAGATCCGCCCACCGCTCGAGTTGTTGCCATTAGCATCGACTCAGACGCTTGAACTGGCACTGGTTTTGCAGCGCTTACACTTGCAGCCCGTGCCACTATCTGATTAGTTCGGATGGGCTCTGGCTCAGCAGTGCACACACTTGCTCTGTCTTTTGACTAAACCGAACTTTTGCATGCAAAGATACCTGATGTGATAGTTGTGTAACCATAGTACTCCGCACACCACTGCATTGGCATACTGCACCGAGGTACAGTAGGGTCGGCGGGATGCATTCCGCAGAATGCCATGCCCACCAAAACAAAACATCCCTGCGAACCAAGAGACTGGCAAGTGAAAGAGCAGTACTCCACAGTACTCCGCCATGTTGAACACAACCAGCCATTCGGCAGTCTCTTCTTCGCAGATGCCCCAGAATAAAACAACGAGACGTATTGCCAAATAAAGTGGCAGGACTCTCAGAAAACCCCCTGAGACGCCAACTACTTCACGAGATGCGCATCACACGCCTAGTTGCGTGCTCACACCGCGGCTGAGGAAAGCTAACGATCTCCACACACTCTACAGGTGTCACAGGTGTTGTATGCACACGCTCTGGCACAATGCTCAGTGCAGGTCTCTCAGGATGCTACGCGTGCGCCAGCACTGGCAGCAAGAAGCATCTCTACTTCACTCTTCTCAGGGTGTTCTGGAGTTTCTCCTGCAACTCAAGGTGGTTGCCCAGGCAGTCACACAAGACGGCAAACAGCTTGCTCCAAGCTCCTCCAGTTCACCACGCCGTGTCATCAGGTGGATGGCCCGACGAGCCTCACCATGAAAACCATCAAGTTGTTGCACCCAACTCAACCGGCTTGCACGGCTTGCACAGCACACTCTCAGCTTCTCTCCATCTGCTCGGAAACATCTCCATGAGCAACCATCTGCTGTTCCAGGATGAACTTGTTCTTTCGACCTTGCAGAACTTCAACAGCTGGTCTGCGCCATGCAGGCCATACCCTGTGCTGGGCTGCACGCAGATCGCTTTTGTTTTCACACGGGATACTGCAGTTTGCCAGATTCACCATGCGCTATCAAACAGAACTCATTCGAGTATCTGTTCTTCGACTATACATTTGATAACTGACACGTATGGGGACAGACTGATGTCTGCGATTGGACACTCATTGCTGATGTCGCTCTTCAATCTGCCCATCTATGAGGCATCTGCAGGACAACCGCACGACACGCAAAACAGTGCTGCAAGTCACTGCGGCTTTCAACAGCGCGTTTGGCAGTAGAAGGTGAACAATTGTTTCAGTATGTACACATGAAGCCTTGCAGCAAGTAAGCGAGCTCTGTGCTGCAGAGACATGTGCAGCACTACAGCTTGAGACTGTTCGGCATCTCTTTGTGCAGAAATGGGGAAAAGGATTTAGCGATACATCGGAATTGTGTGAGCGCCACCCACGCATCAAGAAACAGGTTGCTTGGGATGCTTCGGGAACGTGAGAAGGCTATAGAAGCCTGGACCGATGGGCACACGCAAACACGCAACTACGGCTAACGATCAAGAGGCAAAACAATAAATAGATAACTTGCGCTGGAGAGCGCATATAATGGTATAGTTGCAGCTCATGCCAGTGCCCCGCCTCGCTCTCAAATGCTTTTCGCTTTCCGCAGCTGCACCGGCGGAAACTCTGCATGAAGCACGGTCGAAATGGCAACCAGGACCTCAGCAAGGAAGATCCGGCGCAAGGAAGCTGAGCCGCATGATTCGTCAGGAGCTGTCGTGCATTCCAAATCATGTCGAGGCGAGCAGCCGCTGCTATTAAGTGCCCTGAGGTTAGCGGTGCATCCTCCAAAACAGCCTGTGCCAAGGTCGTCAGCACCTTGGGAAATCATGGAAGCACAAAAAAGGTGGGCCGCTGAGCATGAGCAAGTGCACAGCTTTCACCATACCGTACCAGAGTCAGGAGTAACGCTCACAGCTCTTTCTGAACTTCTCACGACTGAAAACTTGGATAAACTTAAGGTTGAATGCAGCTTCAGGGCGATGCCAGAGACGAGCGCAAAGCCCTTCTTTACAGAGTCGGAATACCTGAGTAAGCGTTGCCTCAAGCATTCACAGGCCCTTGGCTCCAAGAGGGAAACAAATGCAAAGCACGCCGCTTCGTGACGAGCCCGACGAGGATGCCACCCACTGCCTCCAGAGCAGCGGCATTGTCCAACCATGTGCGATGCAAAAACGGAAGCCTGCGTCATGACGGGCAGGACGCTCAGCGCTGACCAGCCCTGGCAAGCCATGCAATGCTAGCGAGCCAGGCTTGCACAGCCTCTGCGAAAGATCGGACCTGATAGGGTCCTTGCACTAGTCGACCCCGGGCGTCGCTGCTGAAGCAAACACCTCTGCAGGAATGCGAAGGGCATGTCACGTTGTGAATACAGACCGGGCATACCATGGGCATGCCAGCATTGCCAGCTTTCTCAGACCGTCACATGCCTTCGCAGAGCACCCTATATAAAGCTGTCCGACACAACTGTTACGGCTGATGCTTTCTCCGCCACTCCTTGCTGCCCTACTCGTTCTCATCCCGTTACTCGTTCTCATCCAAAATGAAAGAAACTTCGGCGGATCGGGCTCCACAAATTCACGTGGCACATTATCGCAAAACAAAGTGTGCGCGTGAAAGGTGTGCAGTCACGTGGAAAGCACCGCGAAACAGATGTGATGATATCATCATCACCATCTTCTTCTTCATCATCATCCACCATCTTCTTCTTCATCATCACCATCACCATCACCATCATCATCATCATCATTATCATCATCATCGTCATACATCATCAGGCAGCCTGTGTGCCATCCTATGTCCAAGATGTTAGCAGGGGAGAACCACGCGAGAGTTCGCAAGGACTGCAGATGCATGACAAGACCATGACAAGACCAAAAACACATGACAGGCTGGAACTTTGGTGCCTGCGAGCAGGCAGGCAGAGCCCCACATCGACAGTTCCATTGAATACAGCCAGCTGTTCCTTGCCATGGGCTCATGGATTTGAGCACAACATATTGCAACCCTGGCACAACACACAAGAAAGAGAAATTGCGTTAAGATTTGTTGAGTCTCCGCCCTTGTGCACCCTTCAATGTCCGCTGTGTCATGGCGGCTGTCAGGCCAGAGCTGAGTGCCGCAGTGACCACGGGTAGGACTCCGAAAAAGAAGGCGTCGCCAGCATCGGCGCCGGCTGTGTCCCTGTGATTCTGCAAGAGAACCACTATAGCAGTGACTGCTTACAAGCCAAGAGCAGCAACTCCTGGCCTTGAGCTCTTGCTGGAAAAACCCTTCGTGCCCAGCAGCAACGCTGAGACGAAGAGCAGCACCAAAGCGAAGCACTGAACTCGGGACTGTCTCTTGCCTTCAGGGTTACTTAGCCAGATACTTTCAGATTCAGGTCACAGAGACGCGTCTGAACACAGCATTTTTTCACTCGTCGACCCAGAAGCAAGTAGCACATGAGCGCTGCTGACAGGGTCTTCGTCTGATTGAGAAGGTTGAAACTGAGAGAGTCGATGTGGGCTTGACCTCAGCCCAGCGTCTCATCATGCCACATCCTGTTCTGCTCCTCTATATACAGTGCTCTACAGTCTCAAGGGGATCTGCTGGGCACGTTTTGTGTTGTTCTGGCTAGAGAAGTCGATGTGGTTCTGTGTGACACTCTGAGGTCTAGGCCAACCTGCAGCAGCCAGCCCTGCATTGAAAACATTATCGCCGGTAAGCCAGCCTTTAAGACGGACTCGCCTTAGCATCGCTTTGGCCGGGTGCGCAACAAGTGTTAAGCTGCATCTCGTCAAACTGCGAAGCATGGCTTGCCACTAGACTCATCGTGGGAATCATGTGCCACCAGGAGGCGCAAACTCCAGCTGCGGGCGATGTCTGCAACTTCATCGCGAGTGTTGCCGAACCTTCGTGCAAATGATGGCCGAAACTGCAAAACACCTTCGACCACGTGATCGAAGCCTGCAGTGAACCCCCAGACCGGAGTCATACTGACTTACACGGAGTCATACGGTGTCATGTGGGGTCATACAGAGTCGTACGGGGCAATATGGAGTCTCACTGAGTCATACAGATTCGCAATGGGTCATACACATTCATACAGAGTTGTACAGGGTCATATAGGGTCATACGGAGTCTTACATCACCGCAGTGTACTCGACTCTGAATCTGCAGAACATAGCAACGCACTGCAGAGATTGCAGGGCCTCTGTAGAAAAGCCTGGTAGCAGCAAGATGAGCAGAGAGATGAGTATCTTCGAGAAGTTGGAGCTCAACAGGAAGACCTGGGGAACATGTCCCCGTGGCAGGAGCTGCTTTGTCAGTAGCGGCTGCAACCCAAACTGCGCTGCCAAGAGCACCTGAGCTTTCACGAAATTCACGACTGCAAACACCAGCATGGGAAGCCCAATGGTTTCGAACATCCTCCAAGGAGCCAGGAACAGAAAGCTGCTGTGGTTCGAGATGGCATCACGCAGGTATGCGATTTCCGCACTCCCTTTTCGCTGCCACCGCATGTCCTCGGGATGTATGAAGTCTTGTGAAGTTACCTCCCTGGGCATGACCAAGTCACATCACAGCCAGGACTCCTTCTCAGCAGCTGATGGCGTCAACCTGGTACAAAGCTGCTCTAGCCAGGCAAAAAGCTCACCTCTATTCTCATCCTTGAAATCCCTGAACACTTGATGCCACGTGCTGCAAACTGCAGTATGAAACTTGACAACTTCAGCGCCGAGAATCATTTTGCATCGTATCAATACCGATGCTATTCGAGGCCACCCAGCGCCATCCATTTCAGCCACCATAGCACTGACCCGGTCATCAGACACCGGATCAGAAGCACGTAAAGCACATAAGGGTGCCAACCAATCAAGACCGGCGACTTCAAACATACACTCCGGGTTTGATGGTTTTGAGATGCTTTGGCGCGACTGCAACAACAAACTCCACAAACACATCCCCTCTGACGTCGCAATTATATTCTGACGATGAGCTTGCGGCTTACTATAAGGATGTCCTGCGTGATTCGAGCTGACAGCCCAAAGACATTTGAGGCAACCGAGCAACACGGACAGCCTGCTTAAAAAAATATTGTAGAATAATGGAAATGGCATTTTCATTTTTTGGAATCATGGACATGGCATTTTATGATTGCTTCAAATCATGGAAAAGCCCGGCCATCATTTTCTCGCGCGCTTCCTTGCTTCCTCAACAACGCATGCTGTTTCGGGCGCCGAAGCTTCACAAGCTCCGTCGCCTGGCTGGGCTTACCTTTGGCAGGGCCACCAGGCACTGAGGGCACAGGAACGGAATGGATATGTTCAGTCCAAACATTCTCACACATCATAACACTGTGTCAGTGCTGTAATGACTGTGGACTGCGGCTGCACAGGTAGGGGTCATGAACCGAATTCCATGATCACGGGGTCATATCTTCGCAATGGTCGATCTCTGCTGTCACGGGCTGCCCAGCAAACACACTGAGACAGAAGTCACCCTCTTGGACCTTCTTGATTTTTCCCCCAGCCTCAACTGCAAACACAGGGTCCAAGAAAAGCGTCTCCTGCTCGCCCGGGAAGTTCGATACCCAAGACACATCTGCAGCAACAGGCCAGATGCCAGATGCCTCTACAAGACTGCACCAGGAAGGCACCGAATACAGTGGTTTTTTGACTGCCAACTTCAGCAGCATTCCGCAATCTGCTGGCGCTCCCACTGTTCCACCCTGTCCTCGTGCAAAAGCGGTTGCCAAAGACTCAGACCGTGACATGCTGACGAAACCGTTGTAGCTGAGGTGCAGGAAGCTCTCCTTCTCGGTGTGCCCATACCCGCTCGCCTGGATATGTGAAAGATCTGTGCAAGCCAAGTCTGCACCATCTATGCCATGGAGACCGTGGAAGAAAGTTTGAGTCGGCACGCTTCTTGGTTGGAAGTCTTCCGTACATTCCACCAAAATCTTGCACTCTGTGTATCGGTTTGAAAGGGCGAGCTTGTCTGCTTCCAGGCCCAAAGAGACGCGCTTATTCGGCTGCAAAAGTGAAATGTGGTTCCTGATCGGGTCGTTGAAGTCATCAAACAGGTACAGCTTCTCGAGTGCCCGACTGAGATGGGTTGCAAAGCGTGTCCAATCCCGAGCCTTGTCTTGTCGCAGGTCTTTGCGGAAGGCAGTCTGCAATTGAGTGACGTCAGTGTAAAGAGCCACCGCTAGCAGCTCATCATCCAATAAGCCAGGCTCTGCGCTGAGTTCACAAATCGAGCCACCAAAATCCTCAAGCCAGGTCATCACGATGGCATTGCGGGGCTTCATCCAATTTAAAAGGCTCTTGTGAGGGAATCTTTCGAAACGATCATCATGTCGAAACCCTTCCCAATGTGGGTCATGTGGTCCCGTGATGCCCATATGCACTGACTGCATAGCTTTCTGAAGCTGTTGTTGTCGAGCGCATGTCTTTAAAGAAGTTGTCTTGGCCTTGATCTCAGATGGCACCTCAAAGCCATTCCTCAGCTATTTAGTAGAAGCATACTGGAAGCCTCTTTGCGCATTCCCAAACACTGCAGCCACCTGTGTATATATATATAAGCATAATGCATGTATGTATGTACGGAATGTATGTATGTATGTATGTATGTATAAATATACATACAGACATACATTACATTACATGACATTACATTCCATTCCATTCCATTACACTACATTACATTCCATTACATTCCATTACACTACATTACATTACATTACATTACATTACATTACATTACATTACATTACTGTACATACATCATATATATGTATATATATATGTGGCAGGAACCTTTATGTATGATTTGACCTCTTTCTTTGTGGTACTGTTCCTATGGATTAGGCCAATCCTATTCCCCAAACCCTGGACCTTAAACCCTCTAACCACTGACTATTGACTATTCTTGTTTGAAAATGGATGTTTAATGTGCACCTGCTTTAGTATGTGGCAATGTTGCACCTGCTTTAGTATGTGACCCCCCCTCCCCCCAAGACAGTCGAAGCTGATATTGTCCCTGTTTACACGGCCCCGAGGGTTGAAATGATTTACTAGGGCGGGGTTTAAAAGGAGCAGCGATGCCCGCACTTAGTTTTAAAGGCGCGACGCGTGGACTCCCGGTCGTTTTGACTTAATTCAGGATCCCACCGTGCACCCCCAAACGGTCAGGGTGTCCTGAATAGCCCAGCCAAAATGACCCAGTAGAGGGGGCCCCCACTAAAGCAGGTAGAACATTAAGTTTCAGCCTTTCGCAAAATAGCCATGTTCGTTGCAAGAAGGGACCTCCTCCCCTAGAGCAGGGCTGAATTCCCTTATACCATCTCTTTTGTTTTCTTTCTGTCCTGCGTTCCTATGTCTTGAATTCTGTCGGTTGTAGATATTCAAGGGAAGTGCTAAAGAGGACAAACAAGGTTTCCCTGTCACCTTTCGCTGTCCTTAATTAACCTTGTCTTTTCTCAGTCTACAGTCTGCGAGAGAGGAAGGGACAGTAGGAGGAAAACAACAAGGAATGGACAAGAGCGCTTCTCTCTCTTTTTTCTCATTGAGAAGACTGGGTACATAAGACTGGGAAAAGATTCCCAGTCCTCTCTGATTCTGTGCTTTGGCTCTTGTCTTGCAGAGGAGGAGAACTTCTCTTATTGACAAAAAGCGAGGGAAAGAGAGGGAAGGAAACATTGTTTCCGTTGCAGAAGGGCCGTCATCTTATCTCGCGCTTATTATCTTTCTTCTTGGGTCCTTTAAAAAACGCGAAAAATGGACACACAAGTGGGCGAGGACAAGAAAGCAAATGGACGACGGAGAGAGGGAAGGAGGCAACGTTACGTTCGTTGTAAAGGGGGGGCTCTCTCTCTCTCTCTCTCTCTCTCTCTCCCCCTGAGCAGGCTTGAATCCAATTATTCTCTCTCTGTTGCCTTCTGTCTCGTGTTCCGTTCCTTCTTCTATTCGAGTAGATTGAAGGGAGTAGGTCGGTAAAAGGTTTTCACCCTCCCGCAACCTCTTTTTTGGCTGTGTTCTTACAAAGGAGAAAAGATAAAATGCAAGAAGATGAGTCAGTCTCACTACCTTCATCCCTTGTCGTCTTTCTTCTATTCTTTTTCGTTCTTGCTTTACACACGCGAAAATTGAAAAAGTCACGAAGATAAATTGACGAGATAGCAGGGAAGGAGACAGTCTTTCCGCTACAAAATGAAAGGAGCGACGCAACAAGGAAATGACAAGGGTGCTTCCCTGTTCTCTTTTGTGAGGATCGGGTATACAACAGAGGGAAGAAATTCCCTCTCCCCTCTTATCCCTGTTTTTTGGCTCGCTCCTTACACAAAGACAAATACATATACATTTCATTCACCGACAAGAATGGAGGGACTAGCATCCTCCTAGCATCACAGCCAAGCTGTCACACCGCAATATACCTTTTTTTTATTCCACGCTTGCGCTCCGCGGTCGTCACTGACGCTGCCCCATAGTCGAAAGACATCCTAAAAGCAGGGCGACCCCACGGGGGACCGTGCAATTAGGGCGGGCTGGGTGGGACAGAAAAATCTGTCTTGCCGTTTTGGCTCACAGCCGAGGTGCTGTGAACCAAAAGGCGTTTCGGTAATAGAAATCCTGCCAAACTCTACACATGAGTACATTTCATTCACCGACAAGAATGGCGGGACTAGGATCCTCCTCCTAGCATCACAGCCAAGCTGTCACACCGCAATATACTTTTTTCTTTATTCCACGCTTGCTGTCGTCCAGGTGTGCTCTCACACTTCGTAGAACCCTAAACTCCTTAGGGATAATGCTTTGGAAGTACGAAGTAGGTCCAGGTCGTTCACTCCTGCAGTCTCACTCTGCAGGACTCTCGACCTGTCACATCTCGCAGCTTTTTCCACAGCTGGATGTGATCCTCCCACTGCACTCCAAAATCTCCCAAAGCACTCACTAAACGAAGTGGAACACCCGCAGTACAGCTGGAATAGGAAGATCCCAGATAATCGCGGGGAACTCTGCGGAAAACTTCGCGAACTGGTGCTTCCGATGCCACGTGAAGCCTAACCGACTGATCGCGTCGTTTTTTCATTTCACTCGCTGCACGAGAGTCTCGAGTCTAGCGGGCGAGGTCATTGAGACCATTGGGCTGTTTTAGCCCCGCCGGGAGCAGTATGGCACCTAAGTGCTGCATACTACGGATAAAGTGTTGAGCATCGTAACGCCGTCAACAAACCTAGGACTTCCTAAGAGCAATGACGTAGGCGTTGTTGTGTATCTGATTCAGCTGAGCTCTTGTGGCTACAGCTGGTCTACGGTTGTCATCATGAATGGTGATGTCAGCAGCACTGATGGCATCTTCAGTTCCATCTGGCATGCCCGTCTTGGGGGCGATCTCAAAAGCTCGGTAATGCCCTGTGTGTGCAAGGTCGCCTATGTGAATGATGCCCCCAATGAGTGAGTAGTGAGCATCATGAGTTGCACGAGCCTGTTTGGGTCGGGCTCTCGGCCCACCTGCGGTGGCCGTTAGGCTTCTCCTAGCGGTCCTAGCGTCAAAAACAGGCATGACCACCCTGCGCTGAAGTTGTATGCGGTTGCGCTTCTTCCTGACACGATTGCCAGAGAACTGAAAGCACGCTAGGCTAATGAGAAGAATCTCAGGTGCACTGATCAGCGCTGTCACACGTGTGCTGCCCTTCCAACCGTTTATAACTTCCTGAAGTTCCATGTCACCATCAAAATTCATTTTAATGTAAGGACTAGTAGGCGAGTGATCTAAGAGTCGCATCGGGGAGCTGAGAGTGGGGCGATTGATGGCCCATTCTCCTTCCATGGCCGGACCTTGCAGCGCAGAAGAGATAAAGTGAAGCAGCTCAGTGACATCATGCTGTTGTCGAGGCTTCTTCCATTTTTTGAGCAGTGCCTTCCATCCTTCCTGCTGGAACAAGTCTATCTGGTGATCAGTCGTGGGTACCTGATGCAAGGCATCAATCTCGCCGACTTGTGAACTGACGTGAGCTCGTATGTTGCTAATGTGCAAGGCGGTGGAGTTCAAGTAGCACTGATTGTGCCTGTTTATGAGGACGATACCCTCATGCCAGTGGCTGCGTCCTTTTGCAGCAGCGGTGGCTTGTTGCGCTGTCTCGAGAACAGCTGTGTCCCCATTGCGGTCTCTTGAAGAAGAAGAGTCCCCCCCTACCCCTGTATGGACATTTGGAATGTCCTTGCTCCCCGAGGCTGCGCATTTGGCTGGCCCCGTTGACTCAGTTGCTGAGTCTCGCGAAGGATTGTGTTGCGGCTCCCCCTTGGGGGCCGAGGGCCGAGGGCTTGTTGGCCCCCAAGCCAAAGAAGCAGTTCAGCGTCTGCTGGCCTTCTTGACTGCCTCCGCCAATTTGCTTGGCTTGACGCGTTCTTGCCGAAGGCGTAACCCCACCAACTGTGTGGCCGCCGCTTAGGCCTTGTTCGTGCTTCTCCTTCCAGTCCAGTGAGGTCTTGTGAAGTTGCGGGAGAACTGTGCTGTCCTTGGTGAGAAAGTAGAGACAGAAGGTTCTGTCCGCCTCCAACATCTGCAAGGAGAACTCGTGGCGAAGGATCATCTGAACAAGCAATTTTTGCAGGCTCTTGTTGGGACGATCTTGTTGGAGTTCTTCCTCCTCCGTCTCCTCGTCCAGGTCCGGGGTGGCCCTCTCTCTTTTGTTGGGCTTTGGCTGCCGTTTTGGATTCGGCGGCTCGGCTCTTCTTTGCTTCTTCGGCACCCCCCCGAAGGGTGTTGGGGCCGTGCTGAGGGCCGTCTGACTTCCCCAGAGAGCTGCGATTTGCGCCTCTGCGCTGGTCATTTGGACCAGTAAGTGAAATTGCCACTACCTGAAGGAGTGGCAAGCACTTGGCGACGTGCACCTTGGGCGTCTTCTGATATTCAGTTTGGCAAAAGGGGCATGGCCGGCCAAGGTCGATTGTGCCCAAATGTTGCGAGGAAAGAGCTTCGAAAATCTTGTAGGAGTCAGGATGTTTAGTGCGATAGCGCCGTCTCCAGGACTGAACATCAACTACTGCTTCTCCGCACATGTGACAGCTTAGTTGCAAAAGTGGAACCTGGTCAGAGCTCACCGCTTCGGCAGGATGCTGCAGCAGTCGGCGTGCCTGGTCGACTGTGACGCAAGCTTGCAGTCGAGCTTCTGAGTAGACATCGACCTGCAGATCCAAAACACGCATGAGGAGTGCAATCTGCATGAGAACTGGACACTGTAGCGCATGCCGCGAGACTCCGTAAACAGTCTTTGTGCAGTAGGGGCAGGGTGCATCTCTGATTAGGGTGTCTTGAAGAATGGTGGGGTTGCACTTGTGCCAAACGCTGGCATGTTTGCGTTTTAATACTGTTCATGTCGACCATCCAGTGGTTGCAAAGGGCGCAGTGATGTCTGAGCTTGTCAGCCGAGGCCTCAGCGAAGCTGATCCGTTCTGTGGGGCTGCGATGTCGGCAGGCATGGCTGAGAAAAATGTGGTAGCCTCATCTTCAACGTCAGTGTGAAGATGCTGTTCGGGTGTTCTTGCCTGTTGGGAGTTATAAACTGGCTTGTCCTTCCCTGGTATGATTTCTCTGCTGCGCGACTAAGCCGGAGCGTCGGCTCGCTCTGTCGATGGAGCGGTTGGTTTTTCGCTGTGGTGCCACTCACACGTGTTTCGGAGCACACGTGAGCGAAGTGCCTCCATCGAGCTGAACTTAGTGTTGCAAAAGCGGCATTGTGGCATACCATTTTTGGCATGTTTGGCAACATCAAATTGAACGTTTTCAATCTTGGTGACCTTAACGCCATGTTTGCGGGCTAAATGCTGCCTTTGTGTTTTGGCCGATGGAAAGTAAAGGCCGAATTCAGGACATGCATGATAGAGCTCAGTTCGAGCGTCCGATACTTCGACAATCTTTGCTTGACTAGCAGCGAGTAACGCTTTGTAGTGCGCTACAATGTCAGCCCATTCACTAATGGCGGCAGGACAGCACCCGGGATTTTTGTTCTGATTGGCCTGAACTTTGCCGAGTTTCTGTTCTGCTCTGTGCAGGAGTATAGTGATGGGGTCTTCAAGGTTAAATTTTTGCCTTAATTCTGCGTTGCTCACTTTGGTGATGTGAGCCGGCAGGCGCGTAATGGCTCTGACTTGTCTGTGAAACCATTGTGACAGCTTGAGTGCGTCAGGTCCGCCGAGTTTGATGGCATGGAGACCATGAAGCGCGCTGGTCAAAACGCAAGTCTGCCAGATCCGGAGTCTAGTTTTGGCTGCAAGTATTCTTCTGCTTCTAGTGGATCTACGCAGCTGGGCTGTACGCTTGTCGGCTTCTTGCAGGCGATGGCAAACTGACAAGGTGGCCGTAGATCGGCGCACACTGACTACAATTGCCAGGTATTGAATTTCTGCGGCAATGGGAATCGTGAAAACATGGGCAGCGGCAGGTATGGTCCAACATTTCACTTCTTTGCGCATGGTGATTCTCGAGCGGGTGGCCTGCGCCGCACATCTGCCACTGAATTTGAATAGAATTTTTGACTTGTCTTCATTGAGTTTTAGGCCGTATTGTTGAAGGAGTTGAAGAAAAAGGGCTGCTTGGCGCTGAGCAATTTCTAGTTCTTCGAGGCCATGTATGAGCCAATGGCCGAGAGTGTCGTCAGCAAAGGCCGTGAATGGCAGAGCTGCATGGGGCCCTATCTGATTCTGCAGATCTTGGAGGAGTTGGGCCGATAGTATGGCCCATAGGGCCGGTGCAAGACGGCACCCCTGTCTGATGCCTCTCTTCGTGGGTAGGATCTCCCCCCCGACTCAATCACATACTTGGCTGTTGCGTGCAGCGAGAGAATCGCGGCGATTGTTCCTTCCTCTGCGCCTTGAAGTCTGAGGCTGCGTTCAAGCATTTTTCGGTCGACATTATCGAATGCTTTAGAGAGATCTACGGAAAGTATAAGGCAACCTACTAGATCAGGTGTGTCCTTAGGGTTATATGTGCCCTGTTCGACCTTAGCGCGAGTTTCGAATCTGTTTTTCGCTTGTGTGCGGATGGTCTGGAGAGTGGTCTCAACACACTTGTTGATCCTGATAAGGCAGTCGCTGATGTCTCTTCCTTGCAGGTACGCGAACTGAGGGGTGCATTGCATGCTGGGCTCTACCTGCTTCATGAGCTCATCTTTGATGGCGCCTATTGCTTTTCCATCTGGTCGTATAAGCCCAATGGGTCTGAGGTTTTCCGGGCAGTTGCTGGGCTTGTTAGGTTTGGGGAGTAGCGCACTGGCGTCCGTCCACCCCATTGGTAAGTGGCTGCTGGCAATGTATGTGGAAAGATATGGCGAAATGACTGTGGCGCAGCATTTCCAGGCCGACGCGGGGGCCGAGTTGGGTGGAACGGCTCTCCCAATTTTTAGTCTTTGAAGCTGGGCTGTGAGTGCTGCTGTAGAATGTGGGATGTGTGGATGGGCTTGGAGTGTCGGCACATCGACGTTGGGGGGTGCAAAGAGGTCCCGAAAGTACTTAGCTAAGGCCTGATGTTCTTCGCCGAAGGTAAGAAGTCTGTCGTCTTTGCCTTTGAGCTGAGTTCGTTTGCGGGGGCACCAGGGCGCAAGCGCACGAACTACCCGGTAGAGGCCAGCTTGAAGGCCAGCTTGATCACCTGTCGTGTGGCATCGTTCAGCTTCCTGGAGCTCTTCATTGGTGTATTCGCGTTTTCTGGCGACACAAGCCGCTTCTCGCCTCTTTGACTCGTTTTTGGTACTGGGTCCATTGCTTCCAGAATTTGAGAACGCCAAGCATGGTGCAGGGCTTAGCGTTTCGAAGTTTGCGTCTCAACTCCCAAAGTTTGGGGAACTCTTCATCAGCTTTGGGCGCTACCCTCCGTTCTGGTGGATAGATTTCTCCCGCAGCCTGTAAAACAAGTGCATTGAGAGTGTCCGGATGGAGTTGCGCGTTGGGTTGCTGATTGCAGAGTTCCTGCACCCGACTGATAAGTGCGATGGAGCTGGGTGCTTTTTGTCTGACAGCCTTGTCGAGCTCTTTTTTGTCGTAGCCGAGCGGTTTGACTTTTGGGAAGTTGGAGATGGTAGTGCTGCACTATGCGGACACTGGTGTCCAGGGCTCTGTGGCCTAGTTCTTTCCAGCCGCCGGTGTGTGGCTCAAAGATTTTGGTGTGTTTGGAATGGGAGTCAGCTGAGATAGCCCTGGTGAGAATGAAGTCAATCTGGCTTTTCCCTTGTTGCCCGAAGTAAGTGTGCGGGATCCTGCTCTGGAAGGTGTTGAGAGCTATCAGCTGACTGTTTTCAAGAAATCTTGCGAGGGCCGTGGGATCGGCTGCCTTAGTGCCCACGTGTCGCTCCGTGTTTGCGCGAGCTGTGCCAGTATGTCCTTGAGAGTACTGGACCTCAGCATTAAAGTCACCTGCGACTATGACTGTGCTGCGTCTGGCAATGTTGAGCACTGAACGGGACAGCTTGTCCAGTAGCTCGTGCCTCCGAGCGAGGTTGTGCTCAGCGCTGTCAGCCTGGGACCAGGATGCTGGTACGTATTGAATGTTTCGACTGTACCAGACTTGGTTGCAATTTGCACTCGCAAGACACGACCAGGTATCACCTCGTCATGTTTGATGGTTTGACATGGAAAGCGCGGGTTAATCAGTGTAAGCACTCCGTCTGCCTTGGTTTTGGTGGCCGAACCAACGGCCCACCATCCTGCTGTAGAGAATTCAGCACTGTGACAGGCGGCTGCAGACTCGGGCTATTGCAACGCGGCTCACAATGCACTGAGACGTGAGGATGCGGCGGCGTTTGTAGATGCCCTTCATGAGCCTGCAGGTGACATAAATTGTCGCCGAAGGGACTGGACTGCAACATCGAGGAGCAGTAACAGGAGCAAGAGAGTGTCGAGTATGCTATCTGATACTCTGCAGCGGATCTCTGGGACTCTGTTGGGTCGGGATTCATATGGTGCTGGTACTGAGGTCAGAGCTGCCGACGATGAGTGCGCGGGTGTATGTGGGACCTGAGCAGTGCATTTAGGGACATTCGATGCGTCCGACTGGCTTGAGCAGAGAAAAACAGCAGGCAGAGCAGTCGGCACCATATATCGGGAGCGAGCTCGCATCGTGCGAAAAGATCCAGGGGCCGGTTTGTCGGCACTCCTTTTTCTGGCCCGAAAAGCGGCCAGGGCATGGTGAACCACTTCTAGCGGTGGAAGTGCCAGGTGGGAAAACACGTGGTCGCGGCTACCATCCAGCAGCTTCACCGCTGCCCATAGATCGAGGCGTAGTACTCTTTGTAGGTGCCGTGCGCAGCAATGGGCGGCGGCTCAAGGATCTCCTGAAGGACAAGGTCGTCTTGGAGAGGTATGGAGTGGCCCTGGGTTGCTCTGACGTAGGCCGTGCCACCAATGTGCGTGAGCTCAAAACGTTGCTTGTCGGAGTCTTGCACAATGGTGACAATCTCCTCCGCCCTTGCACGGAGAGACTTGAGCCGTCTAGTGGTCAGCACATCACGAAGGGCCACGTAGCCATCATCTCGCATGTGGACTCCTTCCTTTCTGGCTCGATGGCGTAGGATGCTCGTGAGCGCCTTCGAGATTTGGACCTGGCGCCCAGACGGGGCCGTTGCGCGGCTGCGGATGTGTCACCAGTGGCTTCGGCGCCCTGATGAGGGGCCGGCTGGTCCTCTGATTCGATGCTTTCCGGCTCCGTCTCCTGCTGTCCATCCTCCACCATGAGCATTTGCTGTAGTGGGAGACTTTCCGGCTCTGGTTGCGGAAGGCGTCGCACATGCTCGGTGTGCTTGGCGGGGCCACTGCTTGTGGATCGCCTGGTTGACGCGGTGGGCATGACTTGCTAGCTCGGGGGTAGTCGTGCAAGCTTGCTGCTGGAGCATAGTGTCACCGAGCTCCGCTAATTGCGCCAAAACGTCTAAGCAGTGTTGCGAGCCTCGTCGCCAGTTCAACAATTGGTAGAGGACCGGGCTCTGGCGCATGGGCTGGCACAATTTGTGGATAATTTTTGCCAGCCTCACGAACTTCTGTTGTGTCTCCAGAAGACTGGCGTCTTTGCGTGCCAGTGAGATCCAGGCCTCTATATATCTGCCAGCTTTGAGCTCACTCGAGTGAATGGTGGCGACATGTGGTGCCATGAGAACAGCCGTGAGGGCAAGGATATAGTTGCCGACCTCCAATTCGCTGGCCTGATGGAACGTGTGGCCTCCAGCAAAGTACCCAGCGAGGTGTGAGGGAGCATCGGCCAGTCGAAGCTGTTCTATGAGGATGAGGTCGAGTATCGTCGGCAAAGTCTCCCGAGTCTCACGAGCCGCCATTGGTATAATGAAGCCGTCCATCTTGCTCCAAGGCATGTCTGCTATCCTGGCGGTCATCTCCTGCTGTTGGTCGGCCTCCTCCTCGGGGGCCGCTTCCATGGCCTCGACCACGGCTAAAGTGTCCTCGTCCGGCTCAGAGTTGGTGCTATCCTCTGCCACCTCCACTTCAATCTCCACAACTGGCTGCTCCGTTCCATCAGCATTTGACGCCTCTGTTGGCGTCGGCACCCCTGCGGGGGCCGCTTGGGAAGGCACCGGATACCAGGTGACGTAGTGCGTCACGCTTTCGATCTGGCCGCTATGGCGTGTCGATGCATGGCGCTGACTGGCCCTGGACTGTCGTTGATCATGCTCTGGCGCCTGCCACCAGCCTCGACTTGACTGCCAGCCTTCCTGCCATCCACTTTCTTGCCAATCTCTCCAGCTGGTGACCTCATCTCGCCATCCCTCTCACGTAGGGGCCGAGCTCGGCTCCCTGGCTGGCTCAGACGCACGCGCTCTAGCCGCCGCTCTTTCGGCTCTTTCGCGGCGTTGCCTCAGTTCTCCAGCCGTGCGTCGCCTGGCGCCATCGGGTCGATAGTGCGCTCTGGGATTTGTGCGCTGCGACTTTGCAGCGGGTTGCATTGCACCCTTCGCTCGAGCACTACACGCAGAGTAAGTGGCTTGATTGCAGCGCTGACATGGAGTGCATGGACGACTGTGATCGCAGTGGCCGATCTCAGAGCTCTGATGAGGCGCTGGCCAACATTCAATCCAGGTGAGCTGTGACTTTGATGACAGGCTGACCTCGGGGCTGAACTGTGAAATCAGGCGAGTATTGAGGATTCGGGGACAAGTCTGCAAAGATGCTCCTGTCCTATGCATGTCAGCTTGGCTTCTGAGGGTGAACATGAGGTCGGTCAGGAAAGATTTGCAAGAGCTCGAGTTGTCAAGCGCAACGGGACTGCAGTGAGAGAACATGTTCTGAGGTCGCAGCTGCATCTTTATTGCACATCCCCTGCAGGACAGGCTGCCAACCGAGTCATGACGCTCCGTTATGGGGCCGAGAACGGCTCCCAGGTGATTGCGCGGCTTGACTCTCCAAGGAATTGCAGATGGCCAGAAGCTGGGCGGCTTTGCGCTTGAGCTGCCTAGATGGCAGAGAGCGAACCTGTCGTATGAGGCCTTGTGTGATGGCTCCACACGTGCCAACAGAGATTGCATTTGCAAGCGCTGCTCCTGACACCTCAGTGCCGTTGCCTGAGGTTCCCTGCGCCTGTGCCTCGGCAGTGGACAGTGAGTCATCTGTTCCCGGCCCTTGCTCAGGGTTTGACTCCGAGGTGGTACGGCTCCTCTTCCAAGTGTTGCGGGTCCTGTGTGACGCGGGCATTTTAGATCTGTGACATTCAATGGCAAGTTGATCAGACCATCCCTCTGACTCGCTCCACTCCAGCAAGGCGTCGGCTCCCCTAGGTGGGGGCCGTATCTGGTCACTATGTGCTGCTGGCTGCACTGAACCTGACGCAACGCTGGCTGAAAATTCGGGAACATACTGACTCGGCAGGGCTGGCAATGGTCCTCGGCCTGCTGAGCGTGGTGCCTTGGGACCTGGATTGATGCTCGCCTTTGATGCGGCTCCCTGTGGGGCCGATGAGCTTCCTGCATGCGACTTTGATGTCCAACGCTTGTCTCGACATTGGTGAAGCCGGTGATCCATCTGCATGCATGTACAAGAAAAATGCAGAACCAACTCATCATGAAACGTCTGAACATCATGCTGAAAGGCAGAGGTCGATGAGCTGCACACGCAAACAACTTTCAACTGCAGTCTGGAGAGTGGGAAAGTTGCTGGAGATAAAGCTGATCAGCCTCAGGCCTTCGCCTCTCGGCAACACCTCCAGGATGGCCGGTATTACTTCCACTGCTGCGTCCTGTGCCCACAAACGGCTAGCCAACTCAAGAATGGCCAATCTGTCTGCTTCACAAGCGTTGTCAATCACAAAATCTGCGACAAGTTCAAGCGCAAAAACACGTATGTGAGTGACTGGCAGAATGGTTGCAACAGTTTGGAGAGCGAGGTCGGCTATGGCTTGCTGAATCTACTGCTCTTCGCCCACTAATGGACGGAACTGCACACTACCCCCTCCCCTACTCCCTCCAAGGCACGAACGAACAAAACCAGGAAAACACAGCCCGCACAAAAACCAGTGCCAAGGAGGGGCCCACCGCTACCTGACAAAAACTACTGCACCGCTTTTGGTGCGATTTGAGCCACGATTGCTTGACTGATCGCGTCGGCCCAGTTTGATTTCGAAGGGACCCACTCCCAGTAAATCCATGTCTGAAGGGAAAAGAGAGCGAGATGGATCTCTCCAAGTCCGGCGAATCCGACCGCCCTCTGATTAAGCACATCAGGGCAGCAACATTGTCTATGTACCAGACTCCGCGCCTTCCGCGAAACTTGTCTGGCCTCGCCACCAAGGCGTATAGCACCATGGACAATTCGAGCTGTGCGATCTTATGCTCACCAGGACTCATAGAGTCATAGAACTGTCTGCCTATATCCGCCACGAACGCCTCGCGGCCTGTAGGCTCTGTGTCTCAAAGAAGGAGGAAGCCTCCTGTCCCTTTGGCCACTTCGTCTTCGGCAGCATCGCTTGCTGCGACAAGACAAAACGGTCACACTCGGGTTGGATGACGAAAAATGGCCGAAACGGCTTCACGTCCAACACTGCCTGTATAACCTGCAAAGCTGTGAGCAATGCCGGGGTCAACTCCCTCGCGGCCTCGCTCTGTCTCAGCTTAATGGCGTGCAGTCCTCCGGCGCCAAACCCGGCCACACATGCCAAGCTCTAGGAAATTCAGCAATCCGTACAACTTGGCTGCTGTTCCCTGTGTGAGGACCTGGGGGGCACTGTGTGATGACACAACGTGGGATAAGCCGGAAAGGCTGGCCTCTCATGCAACGCTGCAACTCGTTCCAAGTCATGGGCTGCGTGGCATAGCCGTTGTCAGCATCCTTGCAAGACTGTGTGAGGAGGAACTCGTCATCCTTGCCTGGTCGCAGGGAGCCGCCAATCTCGCAGTTGTACTCTTCCCAGTTGCCCAGCACATCTGCGAAGCTCACACGGCTGGCCTCTTGCTGCGGGAACACGCCGTAGTTGTGCGCAAAGCCCACGGCCGGAAGCCCAGTGACGAAACCAGAAGGCATAGTAACGTCCGGCCACGCTAGCAAGACGACCAGCAGGCCCAAGAGACCGACATCCCTCTGTGCAGTAGCTTGCCGGACCCCTTCCGGCTGAAAAGCACGCAGCCTGCCTCCTACACATTGCCAGCGACGACTCAGCTCCCTCATCGCTCCGACTGCTGCACGCCGCATATCACGGAGTCGCCCCCGCTTGGAAGCTGTTAGTGCTGCAGCAAAGTGTAGATCGTCGTCCAACACTGGTTCCTGCTCCGTTGGCAAAGGCTCGTGGAACCGCAACAGCGCTGCCTGGAAGTGCTGGTCTGGTGACAGCCCGAAGGGGAGTAGTGGAGGGAGTGCTGCCTTATGCGACAGCGCACCGGCCTGTTGCCCTTCTGCCGTTCACATCAGCAACCTCTGGGGTGTGTCGGGGACAGAATAGGTCCCACTGCCCCGTCCCAGGGCTTCTCCTGGGATCGGAGCCACTGCGGAAAGCAGGTGAAGGGAGGGGCATTCACCAAGTCTTCGATTAACGGGAAGGGAAAGTCCTGGAAATAGTCGCCAGGGTACAAACTCCTGAACGCCAGCACCACCGCCTCCTGTGTCGTATAGGGGATCACGGCTCCGACTGTAGGAGGAATGCCGGCAGCACCCAAGATCGCCACCACAGCCTGTCGTCCTCGGGCTGCTTGCGGCGCTTCGCCTTGGGCTTGGCCTGGTCCTGGCCATTGCAAACCACATGTGTGAACGTAAGCCCTCCTGCCAACACATCCGCTTCGCACGGTGATTGTGCTGGGCAGTCGCACGCCAGCCTGCAACCACACAGCTCCGCAAGGTCCTCTTTCAAGCCGGAGGTCATGATGTGCTCAATGTATTGGGGGAGCCAGTCTGACATTGCACAATTGTGCCCCGGGACATGCGGCGATGCCCACTTAGTGACTGAGCCGATGGGAATGATGACCACGACCCACATATACTGTCCCTGGAGAAAGGCTCTTGTCCGGTTGGAGGCAACTCTCCACGGAGCATCTGGCAGGCGTACGACTGTGCCACTCGGCGCGTGTCGGACGCAACCCCAAGCTGATAGCCAACGGTGCCATGCTCCATTCCCTGAAAACGCGGGTCGAGGCCAGCGCATGACCTGTAGCTTTGCGAATCCATTGCGCGCCGCCCACCAGAAAAAACCGAGACAGCAATGGCAAAGGCCAGAGGAGCCGTGTACTCGGCCTCTTCCTTGGAGGGGTAGACTGTCTGGCCCTCGTCGTCGATCCACGGCTCCCATTCATCTGCCCTATGTAGATGGTGACATTCCAGCACCGGCCAGTCTGCAATCTCCTGGATGTTGCGGCGCAAACGCTGCTGCTTACATCGCGCCCATGAAGCAGCACGCCGCATAGGTGGTGTCATACCAGACACCTGTTGCAGCCATAGGCTTCTCCTTGGCTAGCTCCCAGCGCAGGCTGCGAAGTGGATTCTCGCGAAGGGCTCCCCCCCCCTCGCCACTATCTTGTCCATCTCTTCCAAGATGAAAGCACATGCCAAGTTGTCTCTGGACACTCGTCTCTGGTCGACGATCGCTCCTCAGTGGCCGGGGCATCTCCCGTCCATCCTTGAATGACCTTGGAATCTCCCCGGCCCTGGATTTCGTGGAACAGTCCAACGCTGCTGCTAGAAACACCACGTCCTCCAGCTGCTCGCGCAGTGACTCCTGCCCTGGGAGGACCGGCATCTCCTCGCCGGATTCCCCTAGTTCGGCCTCCTCCCCGGCCTCCCCAGGGCCCCATCAATTGGCCTTCAACTTGGCATTGCACGCTGCCGTGTGGCGCGACGGGCTCCCGCAAACTCGCTCGCCTCTTAATACCACGGCGCATCGGCGCAAGCCCTTTGCTGCAAGCTTTCTCTTTGCACTTGCCCACCTGGAAAACCGGGCACAGCATCTTGCCGTCTTTGATTTGAGACACTTAGCTGTCTGCTTGCCCGCCACGATCGGCCCCATTTGGAATTTGGATGGCTGCTGTCGCGTCCGTCCTACCCCCCTTGTCTCCTTTAGGGGGGTTGGGTGGTTGGGGGACGGTAACGTGGGGTCTCCCAGAGTCAACCCCCTGGGGCAGCCAGCGCGCGTTTCTGGCCTCCATGAGTTCGCGGATCACGGTCCCCAATGACTTGGCACCTTCCCTGAACTTGGAAACCCATTCTGCACGCTCCTCTGCGTCCCTCGCTTGGATCCATGGCAAGCGTTTGTTCGGAGGCATGGAGAAGGCTGCCTCGCAGGCCCTGAAAAAGTAGGCAGCGGGACCTCTACAAACTCTGTGGAGTTGGCGCCCAGTACGTTCTCGGCTTTTGGGTCCGGTACCCCTGTAAGTGGGGCTGTTCCGGCCAAAGCGTACGCGATCATGAGAGTCTGTA